TGCTGGAGCTGTTTCTGATCTCCCACATGCTCCTGCGTCTGCCTACTGACCACCTGATCCATCCACTCGCGACACATTCCAAACTGATACTCACTGGTATACACCGAGAAGCTGAAGCACTGTGAGCTGGCCTCGCACCACACGCATCGTCCCCGCTCGCCCAAACACTCGTGGCATCCCTGCCGCTCTCGGCAAGATCTGGGACATTGTTCCACAGCCCGCACGCTATTGTTGGTCTTGCCGATCCTGCCGCATCGGGCATCCTCTGTCCACCACTCGCACTCGCCACTATTGGCGCAGGCCTCGCAGCTCACGTAGTTGGTGCAGTTGGAGCATTGACTTGGCTGGCTTATCAGGTAGGACCAGTGGAAGTTGCCGAGTTCAGATGTTTCCCGGCACACCTCGGTCTCGTTCACGGACCGCAGGTGACACCGGCTGGTGAGAGGACACCAGGCGCAGGAGGCATCCGTGAGGCAATGCAAGCAGTTGCCATACTGGGTGCAGTCCCCGGAGTAGTATGGCTCCAAGTACTCGAACGTAAAGGCGTTCAGCTGGCCGTTGTGCAGATGCTGGAGTTCCATCTTGGTTTTTTGGTAAGCATTGTAGATCCCATTGCCCCCGATGCGTCGGCGAGCTTGAAAGTCGATTAAGAAGGGCTGCTCTGTTGTGGGCAGCTGGACGTTGCTGCAGTAGCTCTGGTTCGAGCTCTGCGTGGTGACATTGATCAGCTCATCCAGGTTGAGACCCAGGCCAGCGCGTAGCACTGCCGACGAGTAGCTGGTACAGACCTGGATGGCCGAGTTGTTCCACTGATGCTGCGGCCTGACGAAGCCCAAAAGCCTGGCCAACATCTCGCCCTCGAGCTTGTGCTCAAAGTAGGTGGTAAACGGTGGCGAGGCAAAGTCCACCATGGTGGCATTCACTATGCCCACATAGTCCGGCATGGTGTAGTTGATCGGATAATGGTACTTGACGTAGGTGAGTCCCGGGCGGCGATCGTTGCTGGTGCAAAGGGAGGGTCGACGAATCTCGGTGCCCTGGTCACCCCACCAGCCAGCACTGTCTCCGCATATCCCATAGTTGTCGTCCCGGTGGTGGCATCTGGCATTCTGCACACACCACGTGCACTCGTTCAAGCCCAGCTTACTGGCCACCGAGAAGGCGGCCTTGTTCCTGGTCTTTGCCCCCCATTGCGAGCCGTGCACCAGGCAGGAGTGGCAATCCCCAAGCGAAGGACAGATTCCCGGGCACCGTGTTGTCTGCAGATTTGTGGTACAATTGGCTCCAATGGTGCGACCATAGCAGCTACTGTCCGCCGAGCACCAGCCACACTCGGGATTCGAGAGGCAGGCGGTGTGTGAGGAGTGAAGTCTGCAGGAGATTTCCGGATTGTACAGCGTATTCTCCACGCGCAGCACCTGGGGCAATTCGTAGGCAAAAAGATCCGCATTCACATTCCCATGGTATCCGCCCACAATGAGGAGAGTGTGGTTCCTGCGAAGAGCAGCTGCCTGAGCAAACACTCCCTGGGGCTTCGGGTAGAGGCTATCCTCGGCGGCAACAACCTGATTGATCCAGATATGGCAACTGAGGTGGTACCAGTACATCTGGTTATCATAGCAAATCTCATCCTTGTTGTGCCGATGCGTGTAGCCCCCAAAGACGATCATGTAGTTGCCCGAAATGGTGGCCGTGTGAAAGGCCCGCTCCCTGGGTATATTGGTGTCGCGCAGGGCCGTCCGCGGGTACAGGATCTCCGTCCAGTGTTGCTGGTCCAACTGAAAGGCGAATATCCGATCCGAGAGCTTGGAGAAGCGCGCCAAGCTGGTCATAATCCCGCCAAACACAATCAGCGAATTGGTGGCCTTGTAGTAGACCGTGGAGTGGGCGGCCAGGCGCACATCTAGGGTTTTCCCACCCCGCGGCTGCACTAGCTCCCACTGCGAGTCCTCGGCCAGGGGCAGACGGATGCGGTAAACGCTGGAGGAAAACTCACCCGACTCCAGACTTCCGCCGAATGTGTAGAGGTAATCTCCAGCGGCGTTCAACGTGTGCCTGGCCACTGCCGGATGCTTCACTTCCGACCTGATGGCCATCTGCTTCCACTTTCCGCCACTCTCTGTGTTGTTGTACTGCCAGAGATCACTGTAAAAGCTACCGTTGGCATGCTTGCCACCGAAAATGACAAATCCGCCCGGCACCCGATCGGCAGCATGTCCATAGCGTCCATGGGGCTTGTGATCCGTCACCTCCTCCAGTATGTCCTCGAGATACTCGTTCAGTTCTTCATCCGTCGAATTGGCATTCACAATGGTCAGCGGCAGGGATGAGCGTGTCCGGCGCTGATGCAGATTGGACTCCGCCAGCGTGTACAGAATATTCCGAAAGAAGCTAACGTCGCTGTTCAGACCCCACAGCTTTGCCTCGTCCTCGTTTTTGTGTTGGAGCACTGCCTTGAGAAGCGTATGGTCGATCTTTTGCGGATGATAGAAGTGGCGGCGACTCTGCAGGGCAATGCCCCACTCATCCTCCCACTGGCTGGTGCTGAAGCGATAAATCTAAAGAGGAGAATTCCAGTTAGATTTAAGACTTTATAAGTCTTAAAATTGTCGAAAAAGTCTACCTGAAGTGTGCTGATCACGTTATTCAAATCGTAGCCGCCGAACACGTAAAGAGCGTCCTCGTCCTCCATGTAGACGGCTGTGTGAGCGGCGCGTGGAGTCATGCCCTCAGCATCGGTGGCCAGCCAGCGCCAACTGCTGCCCGCCGGATGGTCGCTTAGATCGCATAGCCGACCGCTATATCCCCGCGAACAGTGGCAGATGCTCTTCTGGCAACGCCCACGTCCCTGGCCCTCGCCACAGCGCTGGGGGCAGGCCTCGTCCTCGCAGTCGGGGCCCACCCACTCGCCGTGACAGACGCACTGGTGGCCCACACATTTGCCATGATTGTGGCAGTTGTTCAAGCAGTTTGATATGTAGTAGGAGGCGCGAAAGCCATCTAAAACGTAGTTCGTATCGCTGTACATGAGGATGAGCATCTGTTGGATAAGGACAATTAATACAAATCAGGCAGGCATAAGGAAACAAGCCAACTTACACTTCCACTGCGGGCCACCAGCCGCTGCGGCTGCGTTCGCCCGCTGAAGCTGCCCAGGAGCGTCGAGTTGAAGGAGTCTCCATCGTAGACGTAAATGTAGTCGTAGGAGCACTCTGTACCCATGCTATGGAACGTCAGCGTGATGAACTGGCTATCGTTTTTCGCCTTGATCAGCCACTCGCAGTGCGAGTCCTGCGTATAGTTGTGGCCGGAGGGTCCGTCCGAAATCTCGCCGTAGGGCTCCGTGAAGACCTTGCGACTGCGATCGCAGGGCACCGGCGGCGGCTGTGGAGTGTGCACCTGCTCGGTAGGCAGCGGTAGCGCCAGCACGAGCGTCCAGAATGTCAAGGCCAGCAACGCGTACATTTTTCGCATTTTAATTACTGGCTCACTTTTATGCAAATTTTTCTCACGTCTTCACTGGACCATTTTGGCCGTTAATCTCGCTCCAGCCAGCGCCCGCTGGGCGTCTTCCATTGCACACGACTAGGCGCCGGGCCCGGGCCAATAAACGTTTTCTATTTGCCGTGATTTAAATAATAATAATAAAAAGTTTCGAAAAACATCGAGAGTATGCCGATGTTTTTCCAGCTGTGTTGTTGTATTTATGAACCAGTGGGAGCGATCCAGAACCGGAACCGGAGCGGTTTTTGCAAGTCAAAAATGAGTTTATCCGATAGTATCGAGCGTTAGTCAACACTGGTCACCAATAGGGCCATCTAAATTATAAATGACTCTTTTACATCGCAAAACAATAAGATTTAAATCAATTTTCGTTTTTGAGAACGAATCTGGTTTCTATTAACATTTATTATGCCAGTTTATAACAGTTATATTTCAGATAGCTTCACCATCGATATGTCTCTTTTTATCGATACTGCCATCGTTGTTTTGACATATCTATCTGTCAGTTTTTCCTTCCCTTTCTTTTTCTTCGTTTCCGGTGAGTGCGTGTGCTCCGCGTTTATTTTGCTGAAATGTGTAATAAAAATATCTCTAAATCCGTTTATTTGCAGCGAGGTAGAAGGTAGAAGTTCCCCGTGAAGCTGTCAAGATGGTAAGCATTCGCTTTGTGTTTTGTAAAGTCGTAAAAGTACGGCAACAGGCACACCATGGCCAACATGGCGCTGGAAGCTGAACACTGTGCTCGTGTTAAGCCGGAAAGTATCTGTACTAATCTGTGTATTTTTCTGCAGGTGAACGTACCTAAGCAACGTCGCACTTTCTGCAAGAAATGCAAGGTCCACAAGCTGCACAAGGTGACGCAGTACAAGAAGTCCAAGGAGCGCAAGGGTGCTCAGGGCAGGAGGCGTTACGACAGGAAACAGCAGGGTTTCGGAGGTCAGACTAAGCCCATCTTCAGGAAGAAGGTGAGTGTTGCGTGCAATACAGGATCCCATTATCGTAATACGTAATTATAATGGCGCTTCGTAGAACTAAATCGCTGCGCCTACGAGCATTCGGCTTTTTGGTGGGAAAAAACTGTGCCAGATCAAAATTGTTGTTGCACCGGTGCGGCCGCGAAGGCAGCGTTACGGTTATTTTCGGCCATAACGCCCCACCTGCAGCTTCAGACAAACCCATAAGATTCACAATTTGTATTTTATTGTTCGAATCACATTGCTTATCTGAGTTTCTTTTCGACCAATTTCAGGCCAAGACCACCAAGAAAATTGTGCTGCGTATGGAATGCACCGAGTGCAAGTACCGCAAGCAGACTCCTCTGAAGCGTTGCAAGCACTTCGAGCTGGGCGGTGACAAGAAGCGCAAGGGACAGATGATCCAGTTCTAGGCTCCATCATCCGTTTCCACCCGCCACTCTTTTTACCTAACGAAGTGTTTTAAGTTGTTTTCGACCCATCGTCGTACGGTGGGAAATAAAACAAATTAAAGTGTAGACGTAAGCTTTAAAAATGTTTATTTGAAAACGGTAGCAACAATTGCTATATCACAAGGTGGGTGTGTGCTCTTCCTCCCAGTTGGTTACTCACGGACACCGTCTGCCAGGATCATCTCCGGTGTGCTGGCAAATAAACCGGGTTAGCTTGGATTAACACAACGACCATAAGCACTTACTCTAATATGCGCGGCTCCAGGCCCTCGGATTGCATCTTCTGCTTGACTGCCGGCGCAGGAACGCCCACATGCAGCATCTTGAAGAACTTCTTGTAGCGCACGTCCTCGCAGGCACGCACACCGGCTGGCTCCGCTGGAGTTTCATCTACTGGTTCCTCTGACACTGGTGCGATTTCCGAATCCGGCATTGGGACTTCGGTGGGCTTCTCAGATTGCGCTGGCACGCTCGCGCCTTCGTTCGGTACATGGTCGGTGGGTATGGAGGCGAGCTTCGCCTCGAGGATTATTAGGGATGCCTCCGTTTTTTGTAGCTGCCTCTCCATTTCCACGAACTTGGTTTCGCAGCCCAGGGCAAATTCATTGAGGAAGTTGCAGGTGTTGACCAGGAAATGATTCACAAATGCCAGGATGCGCTTCTGGTTGAGCGGTGGTACCTGCATCGAGCACAGCATTGTATACGTTCGTCGTCCCTGGCTTCATTTCATTTACCTGCGTTTTGTCAACGCCCATAATAGCCGAGCTTTCCATTATATTTCTTAAATATAAAAACTAAATCTGCATGTAAATAAATGTAGTACTCGATTACTCGATATCCGGGTATCGAAAGTTCGATTTTTGCAGAAAAATTAAATAAATGTATGCGGTCACACCGTTTCGGCGAGACTTTTGGTCAATATGACCAAGTATTGTTAGGTCAGAATCATGATTTAAGCGTTAAATTTAAACATAAATGAGTGATATTCCAAATTAAGTGATAACATATAGAAATGGTAAAAAAAATTAAACAATTTAATAAAGTCTGTAGACCTTTAAAGTTACGCTCATTTGGGTTTAAATATTTTATTTTATTTATTCACTTTATTATATCTTAACATGAAATGTGTGAATGGTATTTCCTCGTGTATTATGTACGTCCTTTTTCGATTTATTATAAAAGTATCGTTATTTTTCAGTTAATATGCTTTTTTATTTATATTTTATTTTTGTATGTATGTATAAACTTATGTGCTGGGTGTTTTTTGTTTGTTTTTTAGGACCTGGGACCTTTCCTATATATGCTCAAATCTACAATGAACTTTTATTACGACTTAGTTAATTAATGCTTATCGTGTTTTCATCTGGGCTTCTCTTCACCTCACTGCTGCTTAATTAATAGATCGCATTCTCAATTTTTGTTTGTTACATCTTTGTAGTTCGCTTGCGTCTTTCATGCTGAAGAATTACAATATTTTTGTGGTGCGTTTGCAACATTTAGAAGAATTCTTGCAGGATTCTCCTGAGAACGAAAGTATGCTGGGTGTGGCTGGTGTTTGTTAAATATATTTTTTTTTACGGCAGTGGATTTGTAACGGTTCGAAAATTAAGAGTTTTGAAAAATGGAAGATAAAAAATTAAAATGCTGCCAGCAGCGAAATCCTTTTTATTAAAAAACTAAACAAGATTATAATCATGGTGTTTTTTGTTGGTGTTTATGTGTTAAAGTATCAAATTATATGGCCACCGTTGCAAACGAGAGCCAGCTGGTCTACAACGTCCGCATTAATCTGATTCTGCTGGAGGATTGGATATTGAAATGAAAAGGCAGGCGCGAGCGCAAGTCACACGGCTTCGTATTTTGTAAAACTTTATTTCAAATAAAAATACATGGTAATAAAAAATCAAAAATGTACAGTTAAAATTATAAATCAATAGATTTATGTATATGTAAATGTATATATCTGCTACATAACTGTGTGGATAACCACATTCACTTTTATTACCATTACGCGCAATCGTCGTTATCGTTTTGGATCTCTCTGGGGGAACCGATCGATCGAAGGTGATTCTTCGGGTTAATTTGACTTTAACAACTAAGGCGTAAATTAAAATACATAATTAAAATAATAGAGGATTTGATTGGTGTGTACACAGACCTCGCTACGCTATAGCTTACGATTTTGTTTTAGTTTTGATTCGGGTTCCGAATTCATCGGTTTCAAATATCAACTTTTTGGGGGTTGGGGTGTGTGTGTGTAGAGTGTGTGTGTCACGTAAAATAATAATAATTGGTAATACTAAAAACTAATATTGAGTTGCTCGGCTTTCACGTTCAATTCACATTTCTACATATATGTGATCATTGATTAAAAATACGAGTACGCAGCATCCATCGATAAGCGGATCTAATTTATATTCAACTACGAAATCCATTGGATCAGCGATTGGCGCCAACATTGTTTGTTTATCCTTCGGTTTAATACTAGGCATAAATTAAATAAATAGCTTAGCATACAGTGTTTATAGCTTGCCTGCAATCATCATCATTATTTATATCTCATCTGCTTGTGGTCGTCGTGGACAATCGATCGATCATCCCTCAAGAATTGCGTACTTCCCTACTATTACTCCTTTTAACGACAATACAAATAATAGATTTAAAGCAGCGCGCATTCTGCACTTACTAATTAGTAAAGTTTCCGTTTTGTGGTCGCTACTTGACATAAATAAGCCGCCCGTCGACAACAGTCGTCCTCGTCCTCTAATTAATGTTAATTTACAATTCATCGCGCTCTCCTTCGCTAATATGGAGTCGGGGTTATGTGGTTGGTTATATGCATTATGCCTTGCTTAGCCTAAAGAATTTGATCGTCTACATCTTAACGTATCCATCCGCTCCAGGCTGCAGGACACTTTCGCCTGAGCCGGCCTGCAGGGAGGGAAACAACGTGTCCTAGCACTTACATAGCGAGTTTGCCTATGCATATGTCATGGCCCGGCAGTCCATGGGCACAGAATAAGTATATATGTATATGTATGTATGTATATTGTGGGTGTAATATGTATATAAAATGTACAGGAAGTCGGGCTGTGTTTTATATGATGGGCAATCAATCGCTTTGCAAGTGCCACTAAAACTAGAACCAAAAAGATGGTCAATCTTGAGAAGATAGTCCCCAATATTTTCATTCGGGGGTGAGATCCGCAGCAAGATCAAACTCTTTTTCTGCTACACGGTGTTGAAATACATAAGGTTCATGTGTGTATTGTTTTGTGGTTATATGCCGTGTATTATGCATTGCTTTTAGAGTGTTACGTTACGTTTTGTAGATTACACACACGACTCTCTTCTTGACTCTGTTTGTCGCCTCGAAATGCCTCTTCTCATTTTGAATTTATTCTGGTTTTTGTTTTAGTTACGTTACGTTATAGCAGCAAATGGCGCTTCTTCCTCTCACTGATCATCATCTTATTGTTGTATGCATAATTTGTTGTTCTCGGTTGAAGTATAATTAGATTTAAATGTATAGTATATATATAATGTATGTATAATTATTTAACTCGAACTCGTAATCGCTTAGCTGTGAGCTGCTGGCATCTGCGTTTGCTTCTGCAATCTGCACTCTGGATTCTGAATTCTTTCGATCCGGCTGGGCCAGGTCTCGCGCTTTGTGGTCTCCCCGTTTTAGACAAACACCTTGGCGAGGCCATCGGCCCCGGCACTGGCGATGTACGGCTTGGTGGCGTGGAAGGCCACATCGAATATACTCTCATCGAACTTTTTACGGTGCGCGGTGATCTCCTGCACGCACGTCTTATTGTCCAGATTCCACAGCCGTATCGAGCAGTCATGCGAGCCGGACAGCAAGTACAGACCGTGCGCATCCACGGCCAACGAGGTGACCGGCTCCAAATGTGCCACCATCGAGTGGACAAGCGTGCCGGATGTGTTGTCCCAGAAACGAATATGCCGATCCTCGTGTGCCGTGATCGTGATGGGAAGTGTCGGATGCGACACCACCTTGTTTATGAATTTCCCCGTATTGCCGGACATCTCCTGTGCCGCTTCCAGTCGCACCACCTGCTTGCCCGTCTCCGTGTCGTAAACGATGCAGTGTGCACTGTTGTACGCCACCACAATGTGGTCAACCTCGTTGCGTACAAAGTCCACCGACGAGGGCACACCCTCCGCCTCCGAGGCCGTGTAAGTGCGCAACAGTGGCTCCTTGTTGTAGGGCGACCAAAGCTTCACAGTGCCATCCGCCGAGCATGACACGATATTACTCTGCATAGTGGTCAGCCCCCAGACGGCGTCTGTGTGCCCCTCCAGGGTGCCGGAGTGGACGTTGGGGTCGTAACAATCATACGGATCGATGTTCGGCGATGGCAGCTGCCAGCACTCAATGTTGCCGTCCAGGCCGCCCGAATAGCATGTCTCGCCGCTAGAGGACATGCCCAGGCACAGGACTGGACCTGTGTGAGCACGGAACGTGTACAGTGGCTCCACATCCAGGCTGGCCGACTTCTTGGCCTGCACCGTCTTCTGCAGATTCCATAGCTTCAGCGTGTGATCCTCGGAGGCGGTGATCAGCACCGGCTCCTCCGGGTGGAAAATTAACGAGCGCACGCCATCAAAGTGCGAGCGCAGTGTGTACTTGGCGTTCCAGGTTTTGCGGTAACCAGCACCGCCGGCACTGCCGCCAGTTCCATCCTTTGAGTTGGCGTCGTAAGCTCCGTCAGATTCGTTATTCACCGTCAGTTGGGCCAGCTCACCCAGTCCCAGTGAGCCGTCAACCTCTGTGGGAAGATTAGGGAATACTGAAATTATTAGTTACGACATTGGATGCGCACCACCGCTCAAGGAGTCCCCAAATCCTAATCACTCAATGCCAATCGCTTATCTTCATGAATTTACAACTAGGGACTCCATTGAGGGTTATCTAGCCTAGCGAAAGCATTTTAGATATTGGTTTGTGTGTTGAAAAAGCACCTTCGTTCATGAGATTCATATCGTTCAAGAGCTGCTCTCCCACCTCGGCCTCAAGATCTACGTAGAGAGCGTAGAAGGCAGAGTCGCCAAAGAAACAGAAGCAGAACAAAAATCGTAAGACAGCCATAAAGCTAGGATGGATTACTACGAGGGTAAATCGGGAGTTGTTTTGGGAACTAACACCGAATTGATATCGTGGATATGCTACGATTTGGCAAACCAAAAAATGCTTTAAGGCGAGGCGGGCCCATGCGGGAATAGAGGGCTGCAGGTTGTAGGTATAGTCTGCGGATAAAAAGGGTGTGGAGTCATTGGAATCACGACATACCTTCAGTCAGCATATCCTTGCCGGATTTGGCCCGCTTGGCCAGCTTTACGTCTGTGTCATCATTGTCGGTGGCCACCATCTCCAGGTCGTCGGATATCTCGTCGTCATCAGACATCTCGGTGGCGCCCAGGAACTCAAAGTTCGCCATTACGGCCGCCTCAGTGTCCACGATGATCTCGTCGATCGATTGTTGCACTTTTTTAGCGGGAGTATGACGGCCTAATGTGAGCAAATTATTCAAATCTCCCAACAGGGGGGTCGTAACACAATAACACCTACCTTCCGTCTCCGAGGCGCGCTTGTTGCTCTCGTTTCCATTAATGTTCGGACTGAGGTTCTCGCCCCCAGTGCCTCCGCCGAGTCCACCGCCCAGGCCGCCGCCGCTGCCGTCGTGTTCCGCATTATTATTCAGACCAAGGATCGAGCGCACTCGGTTCGAACGCACATCGATGATGTTGTCTGTGTAGCCGATCTCAGCCAGATATTGGCGCAGCATTTGCCGGCCCTGCCGCCACGTTGTGTTCGAAACGCTGCTGTAGGGCACTTCCGAGTCAGTGGCCACTTCGCCGGCCAGGCCAGCATCCTCGTTCGACGGCTTGAACTCGTTCAGCTGCGGCGGATCGGTGCCGTATTTTAGCCGATAGAACTTGGCACGCTCCTGACGCAGGGCATACTCCAGCATCTTGATGCGACGCGTGAGGTCGGATTTGAGGCTTTCCAAGCACTTGCGTTCCCCGAGAAGCATTGCGATGCGAGCCTTTACAAGAAACAAAAATAAGTGTTTAGTTTTTTTATTTAAATGGAGATTAAAGTAAATGAAAAGTAGGGAAGTAGGAGCTGTTTCTTATATCTTGTTACAATAAGCATTAATTGCCTAGAGTTAATTTTGTTAATTTCCCTACATATTACGCAAATCGCAAAGTGAAAGTTATAGCTACTGGTCAGGAGTGTTTACCGTGAAATGATTTACCTAATGCAATAAATCCACGGGGGAAAACGCATACAAAACTAAGAGTTATGGAAAAATAATTAATACAGCTATTTAAAGCTTTTCCCAATGGCTTTGTCCCCCTTTTTTTTTAACAACCGTTGCAATCCAATTGCGTTTGCTTTTGTGCCTCAAGTGATGTGTGTTGTGGCGGGTTGCGGGCATAATTGACGCTCCGCTGCGTTGGGGCCAACGAAAAACAATTAAATTCAATTAATTGTGATACAGAGAGAAATACAATAAAAAAAAAATACTACAAACTTTAACTGGCCCAATTAGTTGATCGAACAAGAGCGGGGGGAGAGATCTAAGCCCGGTCTGCTGTCGTCGCTGCAAGTGCGTAAAAACTGCAATGTACCCAACAACCGCATCCCCCAGTGAATCCACTCCTTCTCTCGTTCCGCCCATTTCATGTAGCAACAGTCTGTGCAGTGCAGTTATGACTGCGCAGTTCCCCCAAAACCAAAGCGGCGGATGGATGCCAAAGGGTACACTACGATGGCGGCCCTACACCTGACACAGTTATCGGGGGGAGCAGAACATCAGGCTGCGTAAGGGAATGAAACTTTTGTTTTTTTTTTCCTTTCCAACCCGAATCTTCTTCCCCATTCCTTGCTATGACGACGCCCCTAAAATTCAAATGGGGGAAGTGGGCGGCACCCACACAAAACACACACGGCCGAGGTCAACAAAATAAGTTTTGATATATTAAAAGGCATTCAAAAAATGATAAATTACTATACACTAAAAAAAAAAAAAAGTCAACTACAACTACAACAACTTACAACTAAGCCTATATATGATGTCTAAATTAAGAATCGTAATTAGCATACTGATCGTGTTGGGAATAACTAATATCACTTCTAAAAATTTAGAATTTGCATATTAAGTAAAAATGTATACAATATATAACATATTTACGTTTGTACTATATGTTTTCCGACATCAATCACTATTTTTTTGGCCACATTTGTCCAACAACGCATGTCTCCGGAATGAGAAAGCGAGCGCAGAACGTAGAGCCCACAACTAACAACAATAACAATTTGCCGTGCTAATAGTAACCGAGAAAATGCGAGAGTGCGAGCAGGAGCGATGCTCCGATCCGCTCCGCTCTTTGTGCTGCTACTGCTTCTGTTAATGGAAACATGTTGTGCATTTAAATTAACGCTCAATGGCATTTCGTTTGGCTCCTTAAGCTGGCTAATTAAATCCAGCACTGATGTTGCGGATATTCCAAGTACCCGGGAGCCGTTAAGGGCCCAAGCTGCTGCAGCGCGCCACACGCCAACGCCTCCTGAGCAAGCGGCCAGAGCTCCACCTCACAAATCGCTCTGCGACATGCAACTATACTTTGGTTTTAGCCGTGTAGCCTGCCTCCACAATTAGAAATTACGAATGCCATGACAAATGCACATTTGTAATATTTGTAACTTAATTGCCCCCGTGGAGAAGAAGCCACAAGATTTTGATTTACATTGTTTTGAAACGCTGGTTAACCAAAATAGAGGACGACTCTAAGGCTAGCTAATTGTATAATGTAATGCAAAATACATACATATAATAGCAATTCATATTTGTATAAATAGAATTATTTTTATGACAAGTGCCAGCAGCGGCGCTGGTTTTTCTAATCTATAAATGCATTCGCACACAGAGACAAAATGGTGAAATGATTGAAAATGTATTAGCAGCTGCGGCATTATTCTTGGCTATAAGTGTTAATTGAATCGACTTTTTTATAATGGTGAGGAACAGTGGTTCATGGAAAAGAAACTTAAGAGGTTATATAAGTGCTTTCGTGCTCTGGAATATAGTTTATAGGTTTAAATATTGAATAATAAATAAATTATCTTGAATATTTGTATGGTTTATTTTATTTATCATTTCCTTTCTTTCAATTGGAAATTTCCTATTTCAAATAGGATCTGATCAAACAGAATTATTAGCAAGGAACCAACCACTGTGCAAGTTAATTGCCTTGACAGACGCGACAGCAGGAAAAGCCGGCCGAGTAGGAAGTGGAAGTGGATGCATTCAATAGCGAGGAGAACGCACAACACACATAATCAAAAAGAGGCAAGGACGTTGCATTTGCGGCAGTCAACGACACTGACACACAAAGATTGTGAGATGCGGATGTGTATAAATAGACGCAAAGGCAGGGAATCAGCCGCAACCACTAATGGTAGATGATGATGCCGAGCAGGAATAGCAGCAGTGAAGCCAACTAAGATGGCGTCCCATAGAGCGGCGGTGGGTTGAAAGTGTCGCCGCATCTTCTGCCCACTCGAACTTGGTTTGGTTTGGGCCAAAAAGGCAAACTTGGCGAACAGGTTCATAAATCGTGGCGACAAATGTGCGTTGTAAACTTGTTTTTTTTTTTGTTTGCGATTTCCCCCACTTGATGCAACGTTGGGAGAGAGCGAGAGATTTGAATGTCACGTTGCATTTAGAGCGTAACGGATTGGGGCTGATGGAGTGCGGCTCGTTATTGATACCACCGATAAGACCAGTCCCGCTGCAACCCCCACAGGTGAAAGCGATAAGGCGTGTGGGTTGACGTTGACATTGACACTGGCCCTCTTTCAGTCTCTACCCCGCGGATAGGTTGAAATCAGGCTTCAAACGAATACACTTTTTCGGGGGTTAAAGGCTTCTTCTGGGGAATCGTTTGCCATCTGCGGCAAACAGAGCATAAATTCGATTACGGCGTTTGCTCGGCTCGATTCGCTTGCATGCAGACAGCCATCGCCTCCTGCTACCTCAGCTCCTTCTCCTCCTCCTTCTTTGCCATTTCGGCTGGCCTTCTCCTCCCCGTTATTCCACACTCCCCACATTGCTGTTTGCCTTGCATGTTCATGCATTAGCGCCTCGAAAAAATCATTGAAATGGAAAGTGAGCTCCCGCTGACGATAACCAAGGACCTTTAACCCTCGGTGTACTTAAAAGAATAAAAAAAAGACGCGTACTTGTCATGCCATTTAGTACTGAAAGCTTTGTTTGCAGGAGCACATAATATAGCAAAGGATATAGCATTTCCTACTCGCATATATTATATTTATATTATAATATATGGTTAGGCAAGCTTTTAGATTGATTTTTGGCCAACACAGGACAGGTTTCCCCATTTCGTAAAGTCATGCACCAGCTAAGAAATTATAATATTGTAAATAGATCACATACTGTACTCAACTTTTATAAATAAAGCAAGAATAAAGATTTCTTAAATAAAATAGGAAACCTTTGTGAATGTTCACCTGAGAGGTAACAAAATAAGGCCTAATTTTTGCGGGAAAGGATGAATCCGTTCGAAAGAACGATTTAAAACAGCAAAAACCCCTCAATTTAACCCAAAGGATCCTGCTTTAGATATCATAAAAACTTATCTTCCAAGTAAATTATCATAGGTAGTGACTCACCTGCAATTCGGCCCTGTCCACGTCCCATTGTGAGCGCTCCAGCTCAAAGCGCGACCACTCGTGCTGGATAAAGTGCAATATGCCCGGTATTGTGTACTGGGGCGTGGTGGCCTGCTGGTTGTTCGGACCGCCGCCTGCCATCCCGTTGCTGCCGTCGTCGCCCACGTTGCTCATGCCGCCGACCAGGCCGCCAACATTGGCGTTCTGTCCACCAGCGTTCAAGCCGCTGATACTCAGACCGCCACTGCCGCCGCCCAGACTGTTGGATAGCACGCCGCCGATCGAAGTGTTGGCACCGCCAACACCGACACCAACGCCGCTGCCGCCGAGGACGCCGGCTCCCGCACCGCCAACCGGCTTGTTGTTAATGCCAGCGGTGGCTCCCGAGTTGGTGCCCATTGGTTTACGTCGCGCTCTTTGTGGCTGTGCTGGCTGGCTGCCGGGTGGTTCTAGCTACTGCTCCTGTTCCCGGTGCTGCTCCGTCTGGTCCTGCAACTGCTGCTGCTTCTTCGCTTGCCAGCTGTCTTCCTTGTGTTGCCCTGTGCTGAAAATGCAGTGTCCTTTGTTTATGGCTCTCGAATTGAGTTCCTGCTGCTGCTCGTCCTTTGTCGCTGCTGTTACTCTTGGTCCTGTTTCGTGTTTTTCGTTGGTTTTTGGAGGGGGGAAAAGAGCAAAGTTCCGTACATGAGACAAATGAGGTCATTGAATTTTCCGAATGCGGGGGGAGAGCGCAGGAGGGAGCAGCAGGACACTCTCTTCTCTGGCTTCGGCTCCCTCTCGCTCGCACGCCCACACTCGCCCTATGCTAGTGCTACTACTATTGCCCTCTCGCACCGGATCCGCCCGCCCGCGCGCGTCTCCTGCTCTCACACGCGACCCGCACTCTCTCTTCAGTGTTGCCAGCAGCGGTCGGAAAAAGGCTAAATTATAGCGCACAAAACCCGTGAAACAGCTGATGTAATGGCGGAGTTTAAACTCCTCCGCGGCCAGGGGGAAAGCTCCCCCGCTGCAATTATTGTAGGTGTTACACGGCCATTCGCCACACTTTTCACGCTGGACTTGTCGGAAAACTCAATTGAGACACACAAACACACACAATACACTCACGGCACGGATTTTTAACACGACACGGGCGTATAGTATTCTCTGTCTATAAAATATCAATCAAGTCCTGGGACTTGCTACTCGATTCCCGGGCAAGACGCTTCGGAACCTTTCGATAGCTTTTGCTGGTTTACTTGACAATTTTGTTTACTATTTACAGCTTTTTCCAAGGAAACGTTGTTGCTACCTTTCACGATTCACCGTTTTGTGAGCGAACAAATGACGCGGTGGGGAGGAGGGCGCAAACCCCGAATGGAAGGCGAGACGCAGACGGCGATTAGAGTGCAGCGCGTTTGGCGATTTGGTCCATTGTTGCGCCCGTTTGTAGATACTAATTAATTAAGGCGGATGCCGAGCTACTGCATACAAAAAGTCGATTTAATTCGATTCGGCCGAACATCAGAATGTTTGGCCTGGAACTCTGAAATAACACAGAGTTGCAGCGACACAGCATTTCTCTCGCTCGCACTCGCGCACCTGCCGCCCGTCCGCCTCGTATGGCCGTCTCGCTCGGCAAGTCTATATACAAAGAAAAACACGCACACACTCGCGACCGTACGCATACGCCAGAGCCGAAGTATTTTCACTTTGCTGAATTCGGCGTGTGCGGTTTCTGCGTTTTAGCCACGCGTGGACTTGGGGCCGATGTGATTCGCTTACTTTGCGTTTTAATGCACCGCTTGGCTGTATTTTGCAATTTTTCGCTTGATTTTCATTGGTATAATACAGAGACTTGGAGCTGCAACAGTGTTGCCAGATGCAAATTTCGCTTTGTTCCTAAAAAATGTCGGAATGTTTAAATTTGCCCCTAAAAAATCCAATAAGAAAATTGCGGCTTTTTCGCTTATGTTGTTTAAAATCCCAGAAAAGGCGTGAAATCTCATAGACATACGGGAAAAATTCCGCTTTCGGGGCTTCTAGGCTCACTAAAACGGTGAAGCCCCCATGAACTCGTGGTCTGGTAACGCTGGTCACTCATAAACGAAAAGTCTGGCAACGCTGGTTGAGCATACAGTGCTGCCAAGTAATTCAAATAACGTAAATTGACGTAACGGAAATTGTTTTTCAAACTGAATGGTTTCACTTGTTTATTGTTTATGAAATGTCAAATCAAATCGTAAAAAAGAAAGCAGCTTTCGGCAGAATTTGGCAGTGGTGGTCATCGAGCGGGCTTGTCCTTTCTTTTTTATTTTACATTGTTTTATTTTAACTACTTTTATTTGTTTATTTAATTTTGTTCATCATTTGATTTAGCCTAACACTTGGATTGCTACTGCATACCAGAAGTACATTTAATTCGGTTCAGCGTAGTAGTTCTAGTTTCTAGTTTTTGTTTTAAATACTTCTTATTGTTATTTAATTTTCTTTAATATATTTAGTTACCTTGATTCAATTTTAAACAAAAACAAACAAAAAATATTTGGAATACCGCTGCGTTACAGTTTTGTGCATCTTTTTCACGTGGTTGCTGTTCTTTATACCTTAAAAATCATAAGTTCTTATTTAAATATTTCTGTTCACATGTAATTTTGTTTATTATTTAAGGTTTTGGGTTCCCTTGACGTGTCAGTCATTCAGCCGTGAAGGAAATATCCTGATAGTCAAAACAGAAGCCCTTAACTTTTTCTCAGACTTCTACACAATCAAGATTCTTTACAATCCCTTTAATAACCACGCCCATCGCCAATTTTTTTTTAGAATTAGTATCTGACATCTGACATAAACACTTTTAGTGTACATTTTTTATGTAGATCCGATCTGAATACATAAAAACCTAGGGTTAAATGAATAAAGCGAAGCGGTAAAACTGTTTTGTGGCCGTGTAGTGCCCACCGGAAACGGGTAGATCGTCTGACTATATCATTTAACCGTGATGGGACCGATCTAGAAATTAAGGAAATAAATGATATATAAGCATATACTCTAAGATACAGTAGTCTTTGGCTCTTTGGCTTTTAATTGCCTCTAAAAATGTTGCGCAATTAATCAATTTCAAAGAAATCATCATCCAGGGATCCATTTTGACAAAAGATCAGAACAAAAAAAATGACATCAGGCTGATCACTTTAATTTTTAACCGCTGCACAATATTCGTGTTTTCTTATCAATTAAAACAATGGGTATTTTTTTTGGAAGAGCGCTTTTGATACTGCTGAGTGTCAATAAAAATAAAATTGTACAAATTTTAGTCAATTGGCAATTTAACAATAATTATATATCCAAATCAAAATATGCCAGATACAATTTGGGCATACTCATTCTGGCAATTAAAAAGATAATTATAATAATCCCAAGCATTTTTTAAGAAAAAATATTTTTAATTTAATATGTAGTATTTCATTAATAAACATTTTTCTTAGTGTACACTTTTTCTGTAGATCCGCTTTTAATACATAAAAACCTAGGGTTATATGTATAGGAGCAAGAGAGTGTCATCATCTGTATAACTACATATACAGTTCTTATCGATACCCGACGAAGCCGGATGCCTCTTCTAAAGTTTTCGAATGATACGAAAATTAGTTCCTCAGATACTTTCAACTTTCGCGGACTTACAATCTCTCCTGTTTTAAGAATGCACAACTTCGTAGCATTCTTCCTTTGGGCGCTGGCTGCCTGTACCCTGTGGGTAGGATCCTTCGCGGAGGACCAGTCGGGTTACGTTTGTCTTATAGACGATCCCAACCCAAAACAGTGTGACAATTTCTGTCGCACCGAACTGCTGCGTATGCTAAATGAAGACGCCGGGGGCAGCGGCACAGGGAACACCTGTGATGCTAAAATCCGGGAGAAGCTTGACAGCGTGGCGGATCAGCAGGCTAAATTGGAAGGACAACTACATGGAGTGGAAGCTAAGCTGGAAGGACAACTTGAGGAGGTGCAAACCAAGCTGGAGGATCAACAAACCAAGATGGAGGCTAAACTGCAAGAAAGTCTGACGGTACTGAACAAGTTGGAGGACTCCCAAGCAAAACTCGAAATCCAACTTCAGGCGATTGTTAATCAACTGCAAGCAGTATCCAACAAGATAGATGATGCCACGGTGGAAATCCCGGATTTAGTTTGGATGGCACAACTTGGTTTCCAACGAATCGGTACCAGATATTTTCGAATTGAAACTGAAACGGAGAGTTGGGATACTGCTAAGAGAAGGTGTCGTGAGTTGGGAGGTTACTTAGCCTCCTTTCGAAATGAAGAAGAATTCAACGCCATTATACCAAAACTTAAAATATCTTATCGCTATTGGCTAGGGATTAATGATCACGGTAATGAGGGCTACTTCGTATCTGTGGCCTCGCAAAAGCCAGCACCATTTTTAAAGTGGGGTAAGGGAGAACCCAGCGACAGATACCATGAGTGGAACTGCGTCAATACGCATGATGGTCATATGTGGGACTACAATTGTAATAACGAAATATATTTTATTTGCCAGGCGGACAATGAAACTTAGTAAAATTCCCATTTATCATTTCAAATAAAGTTATATTTTAAAATAATAATTCCTTTCCAATAATTTACTAAGAAAATTGGGTCTTCTTTACTTTTCAGCAATATTTATTTGATAAAAGTTTTACAAAGACGTTATGACCTGGTTTTATGATCAAGTTTGGATTATTATTTAAATTTAAACAATTCATTAAAATAAATATGACTTGGAATTCGTTATTTTGAATGCAACTAACTCCTTCAAAAACGAAACTGGAGATTAAAGAGTTAAATTTTGAGTAAATAAAAAAAAAAAAAAAACATTTCTTTCTTTCTTGTCAGTTTCTTTATTAAAGAATTACCTCTACATTTATGTACTCATGTACACCCAAAAAAAATAAATTAAAACAATTAGCTGAATATAATACAAATATTTGTTTAGAATCATTGCCTTTGGCCCCTTCCCAAACATTAACTTTTTGTATAAAAATCACATTCGGGAAACATTTTCTAAGTTAACAGTTCTGGCTACATTTTGTTGTCAATTAATCATTGTATGGTCCACATAAGGGGACATTTTTTTCAGTGTCGTTAGGTACTCCACTTTGGGAAATACATATACATATATAAACGAGCACGCAAAAAATGCAGTCATCGTTATGAATAGCTCTTATCAATCCCAACTTAGATCGGATGCTTCTTCGGAAGCCATCACCTGATTTCGGGAATCCATTGATAAGACACTTTAACCTTCTCACATGAATCCCTGTTTTGCGTCACGCAGCTAAAGCAGAGCTCTTAGCTATGTACAAGCTTCTTTCTTTTGTTAAATGCAGATTGCAATAAATAATTTTAATTTTTATATTATTTGTATATATGTACATACAGAAATTGAGAAATATATATTTCTAGCAGGACAGAGAGTGCATTCATCCTTATAAATAGCTCTTATCAATCCCAGTTTAAACAGGATGCCTCTTCGAAAGTCTTTGAATAATTCGGGAATCAGTTCATCAGAGACATTTAACTACTGCGGTCTTACAATATCCTAGTAAAAGGATGCACAACTTCGGTACCATCTTCCTTTGGACACTGGCTGCCTGTATCCTGCTGCAAGGATCCTTCGTGGAGGACCAGTCCGGTTACATTTGCCTAATTGAGGATCCAAAACAAAAACAATGCGACAGCATTTGTCTTACTGAACTGAGCCCACGGCTTAGCGAAGTCGTCACGGCCCAGAACGAAGGGAACGCGAACACCCGCGAATCTGACAACGAAATCAAATCGAAGCTGGAGACATTGGAGGTGAACATTGGAAAAGAGCTGGCCAAGCTACCTCAGGAGGTGCATGCCAAGCTGGAAGGACGACTACAAGGAGTGGAAAATAAGCTAGAAAGACAATTTCAGGTGCAAACCAAACTGGAAGAAAGTCTGCTTGTGGTGCAGACAAAGCTTGAGGCGGTTCTAAATCAACTGCAGACACTGTCGAAAAATATAGATTCTGCCAAGGTGGAAATACCATTTGGTTTCGATCGAATCGGTACCAGATTTTTCCGAATAGTAAATGAATATGTGGATTGGGATACTGCTAAGAGAAGGTGTGTCGAGATGGGAGGTCAACTGGCCGTCATCCAGAGCGAGGAGGAGCAGACCGCTATTGCGGCCAATTTGTGCGGTTTAGAATTCTGGCTGGGCGTTTACTACGTGGCCAAAGACAACGAGTACGTTTCTGTGGTGACTGGCCATAAGGCTTTTTTAAAATGGGGTGAATCTCAGCCAAATAAGAGAATTAATGACAGAGATGAGAACTGCATTTGCATATATTTCCAGCTAATGCACGATTATCCGTGTGCCACCAAACTGCGTTTTATATGTCAGGCCTAAGGAGATTTTTATAAAACATTGTCCTTTTTTAACAACTTTATTTAAATGGAAATGTTAATAAAACACCTTTAGATAAAATAGTTAAATCTTCAGTAAATAAAGAATAAAATAATACAATAGTTAGCTTCCTTTCTTTTCTGTTTCTTTTTTTTGCAGTGTATATATGATAGTGGATAGATTCTCTCACTTGGATTATGATGTATGTATGTATATACGAACACGTTGAGTGTGCGTAGCTCTTATCAATTCAAACTAAGATCGGAAGCTTCTTTGGAAGCCATCGCGGGATTCGGAGAATCCGTTGATGAGAGACTTTCAAGTTCACCCTTGAACCCCTGATTTACTTCATGCTGCCTAAACATAGCTGTTAGCAACAAACTGTACCTTTTTAATCTTGTTTGCATTATGAGTTATTATTTGGTATTTAAATTATCAAGTTAACGTTTTTGGAGAAGTGGCTTGTTTTTTGGGTGTTCCCTATTTAAAATAATATTTTTTTTTGTGATATAAATACAGCTTATGGAGAATACAGACTTCAAACCAATCCAAACTTTTACCGCCCCCGAATAGCCAAGGTCCTCAAGTAAAAGTGGTTTATTTTAACAATAAAACTTATTTATAACAGTTACTACATCACCAACGACAAATCTGAACTACGACCCCAGTACTGCTCCATCCTCTCTAACGAAATTATAGTTATTTATGAAGACAAGTGCTCGAAAAACCCAAGCAAGTACGCTATTCTCCTTAAATGGCATTCCAAGTTCCAACACTCCACTACACTACAATAAATAATATAGCCACCAAACTCCTTTCCAAAATAAAACTTATTTGGATCCCAAAGCACATTGGATTTTAAAATCAATGAGAGAGCGGATAATGAACAGGGCTAGGACATACACAATTCTCATGGAAAATTTCTGCAATATATGTACATGCATCACTACTAGCAAACTGTACTGCATTTTTCCAAACTTCTTTCGCGAAAGCCCAATCCAACAATAGAAAGTAAACCTATCTCCTAGCAACTAGATGTAAACCCTCCCAGCGGAGCTAAGGCTCTTACTAATTAAATAAACAAATCACAGATGAGCTAACTAGATTTAATACAAATACCACATTTCGATACAAGGCAGGATCGCTTACATGAATGTACATTTATTACATGGTTAAATGGTTACAAATTACCTACAGACTATAACGTGAACATGGACTGACATTGAGATTTGGTGTTATAAATTTTAATTTGTCGTCACATCCACGAGGATTATTTTTGATCGGAAAGCCGCAGTCTTGGCCCGCCGCCGCTTACAAGAACTCCTCGCACCAGTCGTTGAGGCAGTTGTAACAGTCGGAGGCCTGCTTAGAGCTGGCATGGCACACCTCCTTCATCCAATCCTTGAACAACTCCTCGTCCTTCTTCAGCACGAGGTACTGCCCCAGCACCGTGTAGGCCTGCGGATAAAGAAGTAAAAATGTTAGATTAGTGTTACAACGCATATTGTTTATGTGTGCACATGGCGTCATTTCGTACCTTGTCGAAGCCCGCTTCTGTAAGGCGTCCTCCTAGGGTTTCGCCGATGCCGGCCAATTCGGTCACCGCCTTGTTGCCCATCGGCTCAGCCACAAAGTTTCTATACTTTTGCGAAGTTCCGGACATTTTGTTCTCTTTTTTCGCTGCGTTTCGTTACTGGAAATGAAATTAATTTTTGTTAGTTGTTCGCGGCGTTTCTAAATAGTGACGCACTAAAAAGTGTGCCTACTTGTTCTTTCAGACAGAACCTAAAAGCGCCACCTAGGATGTCTGAGATTTTCTGTGATCATTAGCTTGGTCACATTAATTTCAATCGCGTAGAGGCGGGCAACATCGATGTTTGCGGATATCGATGTTTTTTCATAATTTTAAATTAATTTTGAAACAATTTAATAAAAAAATAAATATAAATAAATATATATGTATTTGTTTTATGATTTATTTCGGTGTTGTTGTAAAAGCAAAAATGTGATGATTTTCTATTTTCTTTTTGGTTTTGAATTTAAAAAATTGGCTAAACTTAAAAAAACGACATATATATTTTATCATAGGAAGGAATATATATACATATGTATGATTTATTTGTGCTTTTTTTGATGATATGATGGATTGTTTGACTTTGGCATTTGTGTACTTCCCCGAATTGCGAATTTTTTGTTTCTATAAGTATTATTACTTTAACTTTAAAGTTTCGAAATTAAACCTTAATTTTTTATGTCCCACTTCGTACAAAATAGGGGCAATGCACCACTTGTACTTAGTATGCGCCACAGCACTAGGCTTAACCCAATTTATCAGCGCCTTCGACATCCCGCCGAGCTTCTTTGATAAGGAACCTCGCTCAGAGGCTTCAACCTGGGCGGCAAACCGCCCGAAACCACAGTCTTGATTGACACCTGGCCCTGGTCTAGCTTATCGCTGCCGGCTACCTAAGCTCACGCGCAGTCTATAAAATCCTGAGTTGCTAGTTCCTGGCCACAGTTAAGTTGAGTTCCCTGTAAAGATGTTGGCGCTTAGCTTGCTTTGCTGTGGAGTGGCCCTTGGTTGGCTGGTGGGTGAGTTACGGGGAACCGGAGGTGGATGGTCTTTGTCTCCGTCGACTTCTCCGCTGACCGAGATTCGAACGCACACACATCGCTATGAGTTTGCTGAGTAATTAAAGCGCTCCAGGCCAAGAATTAATTGCTGGGTCGCAACCGGTTTCGAGGATTACAAATGCGTCAGCCGCCTTAATGAGCTTCGGGCTTGGATCTGGAGCTGTAGCTCGCACCTGGAACTCGGGCTGGTGGGGCCGATCAGTTGGCAATCGACGGTTAGCTGGTCAAGATGTCCTCGAATGCGCTGGCCTGTATCTGCAATGTGATTAATCCGTGTCGAAACGAGGTGTCCACAACCTTTGTGGTGCTGCAGTGGCTCATCACCGGCTTTGCAGCCCTCGCCCAGGTGGTGCGACCCGTACTCCTCCTCTGTAATGTGGTTTCCAGTCAATCCCTATTTATTACTCATCAATTTTCTTTTTTTTTCCCCACTTAGTTGGCATTCGCGGTGAAGTGGCTCTGAGTCAAGAGGATTACAACAAGACCTGGATCTATATGCCCAATGGCGAGGGCAAGCCGGAGGTGGCCTACCTGGTGGAACCGCCGCCGGAGAATCGCATTAATCTGCCGCAGCTCATCAAGTTTGAACTCTACGGAAGGTGACCAGGACCAAATCCCAGTTCCCCACGTTTTTAATAAGAAGGAATCTTCTTTCCGCAGCGAGTCCAGTTCCAGTGCCGATTTCTGGATAGACGACGACAACTTTGAGTTCCCGCAGCGCCACAAGCGCGACACATGGCAGGAGATGGCCGAAAAGTTTAATCCGGATCTGGATACTAAGATCCTTGTTCACGGCTGGAAGTCCAGCACCATGAGTAACTCCATCCAATCGATACGCGGCGCCTACATCGAACGGGGCCAGGTGAACGTGTTCGCCATTAACTGGAAGGATCAGGCGGATAATATATACTACTTGACCCCGGCTCGATACACGGTCCAAGTGGGCAGAGCAGTGGCCAAGCTTATCGATCTCCTGGTGGAGGAGAAGGACGCTGATCCTCAGAGGATACACCTTATAGGCCACAGTCTTGGTGCTCATATTATGGGCTATGCTGGCTCTTATACGAAATACAGGGTTAATCGCATCACTGGCTTGGATCCGGCTCGACCCGCCTTCGAGGATTGCATTGGCCCGGAAAATCACCTGGACGACACGGATGCCAACTTTGTGGATGTCATACACAGTTGTGCTGGATACCTGGGTTTCCGTCGACCGATCGGAATGGTGGATTTCTATCCCAATGGCGGGGGACCACCGCAGCCGGGCTGTAAGGAGCTATCGCAGATTTTTAGTAAGTATTTGAAGGGGGATCCTAAGTTCTCATCTTGAGCTGCTCCTCAATTGTGATTTCAGCTGGTTGTAGTCACGGACGTTCCTATGAATATTATGCGGAATCCATCAACTCGCCCAAGGGCTTCTATGGCGTTCCCTGCTCTGGCTTGGATGAACTCAAAGGCAAAAACTGCACGGGAGCTAAAATCCTAATGGGTGATCCTGTTCCCCGGGAAGCTCGAGGCATTTTCCTTGTGAAAACGGCCAACAAGCCGAGCTATGCTCTGGGCATCGATGACATCTGGAGTAACTGACCAACACAAGCTCTTTAAATATCAAAAACTAATACGTATTATTAAATATTATTTACAACAAATCACTTAGGCTACGAATACAAAAGAATGGGGATTAATTCAGGCTATAACATCGGTGCGTCTGCGGATGATGTTGCTCCTCCGGTGGCTTCCATTTGGCTGCAGCACATCCTCTGGCCTTGGCTCGATCTCGTAGTGCTTGTAGCCGTCCACATCGTCCAGCTCCCTGGAGGTGAACTTGGCTAGCATTGTGCCGCGTCCGGCATAGGGCGGAGTGTACTTGAAGGTCGCTGCTGCGGTGCCACCCACTGGGATCTCGGCGATCTGTAAAGAAGATAATAAATGAAGCAATCGTACATAAGATGCTCTTGGTGGTTCAAACCCACCTTAAACTTTAGAGGCTGCTCAATGCCTGGTCCCTCCACCGTGAATATGCCTTTGTGCAGGGGAATGGGCAGCGGATTGGCCAGACGCACGATTACGTCCAGCTCCTTTTGGGCCACGATGCTGGCCTCGCCCAGCTGGAACTTAATATCCGGCTTGCGCACTCGGAAATCATCCTGGGCATAGTAATCGTAGTCCGTATCCTTGACCTTTGCGGCAGCCGAGATCTGGAAGGCGGCCTGCGAAGATAGCTTCTCGAAGTACTCCTCGAAAATTACCTCCATGCGCACGTACTCGCTGGTTTTGGGCTTCAGCTCAAGCTCAAATCCGAGAACCTTGACCTCCATGGCACCCACGCCTGTGTACAGGACGGCATCGCAGTTGACCTGTCCCGTGGCCAGGTGGGTGACGGTCTCGCTCTTGTTCGTGACCTTGAGCACCACACTGAAGTTCTCGCCGATCTTAATGTCGTCCTTCAGCTCCATGTCAAACTCCACGTCGTTGAAATTGTCGTTCAGGTAGTACCGGCTGAAGGCATGACGGGATTGCTTCAAGGCCTTGAGCATGGTGCTCCTTTCCTCCTCGGAGCGCTCAGCGTGCTTGTAGGTATCGGTGATATCCTCCCGCTCCCACTTCAGCACCGCCTTCGTGCTGATGAGGTGACCAATAGCCAGAGTATCCTTGCGCAGAAGCTTCAGCGGCTGACTGGGTCCGTTGTAGCGCCAGTATAGCTTGTCCGCGTTCACCTCCGCAAAGACAAAGCCGCCGTCGAAGGGGCGCAGGATCTCGCCGTGCTTCACGGCCAAAACGGAAGCGGGACCCACGCGGTACATGTTGTCTGAGGCCTCTTGCGGCGTGGCATCCACAACCTGCCATCCATCGTAGGAGCCGTTCTGACCAATGCCTAGGTCTGGTCGCTGCATCCACAGCTCGTTCCACACATGGTAGTTCCATATCGAGTCCGTGGTTTCCGCCTCCAGCTTCTTGTTGTTCGAATCGATGAAGACGTCCACTGTTAACGAGGCCTGAGTGTCGTGGGCGGACGAGTAGCAGGTGATAATCCTCGCCGGAATACCCAGACTCCTGGCAATGGTGGCCAGCACTCCGCTAAAGTTCCAGCACTGTGCAAACTTCACCGACTTCTGGGTCTTGTGGAATTGTTGGAGGATCTCCGCCGAACCGGTCCACTTGGTGGGTGCAACGCCGCCGGAGAAATCCTCAGACCAATTGCCCAGCAGGACGCCATCGTCGTCCACCGAGTTAACCAAAGCGGACAGAGCACGGGCCACTCGCACAGGATCGCCCCTGTAAGCCGGCGGTATCTTGCCCACGGTTCCCAGGACCTTGAGGCTGCACTCCAGCACATGACGCTCGAACTGACCGATCTTCCAGACCGAGGGACGCAGTCGATTGTAAGATCCCCGCCATATAAGCGTGGTGTCGTGCATCACATACTCCTTGCGCTGCTCGCGATCCTCCAGATAGACCTGATCGTCGGGACACCAGGGATTGAACAGAATGTAGATGGGCAGCGGCAGGGGGTAGCTCCTCGAGCCATCTCCCAGCAGCTTTGTGTCAATGTCAAGTCTCCATTCGGTCACCGGACACGTGGATGGCGGCTTGATCAGCACTGTTAGGGTCAGTCCTTCGTGGGACTCGATGCCGGCTCCCCACTCCAGAGTGTCGCCCAGAAAATCGATGCCATCGTGAGGCACCAAGGCATTTAGGGTTCCATGTCCTGGACTCGGCTTGGTGTCATCCGCCACGCTGAGGATAAAGCTAATCGCATCCTTGCTGGGGCTGTAGTCCCGATTGAAGTGGATACGCAGCCGGAAGGGTTCGCCTCTCCTCACGACCAGGGCCTCCTTGGCAGCCGCTGCATAGAAGTGACTGGTGTGATGCTCGTCATGGTTGTCTTCCAGGCAAAGGTCCACTCTGTGGACCCCCAGAACTGCGGAACTGGCAGCATCTATTGGGGTAAATAAAAATTAGTTATTAAATTATTTAGGGACAAGAAAGGAAACTAATTTCGGGAAGCCAAAATTTATATACCCTTGCAGTTTGCCACAGGATCATGGCAAAAATGCATGAATTTGGAATTAGGACTAAGAAGTATTAGTTTTTCTTTAAATTAAATACAAGTAATTTAAAATAAGAGCAATAGAGAGTGAAAAAACGGAATAATAATATTTAAAAAAATAATTAACTTCCTTGAAAATAAAATCTTCCATAATTATTGCCTTGCCTCTATTTTCAAAACTATGCCAAAAGTCTATAAACATTTCGAATACGCTCTTTATGAGTAATAATTAGTACTTGGGTCTGGTCTTGGACAGGGTCTGAATAAAATCTGTCAGCAGTTGGTGTGGGCTTCCAAGAGATCTCTTTGCGCTTTTCTTGGTGTGTGGCAGCAGATGATATCATAAAGCAAATCTTCTGTCAGCTGTGCTCCCCGAAGCCCCAGCAGCATCATATTGACTAATAGCCTTTGGCCGTAAACATAACAAACTTGTGCCACAATGGCCATAAGATCAATGCCAAGCCAATTAATTCTCGCAGTGGACAATAAAAGCAACGCCAACGCCCCGCTAAAATCACAACAGCAGTCTTAAAAAACTAAAATAAAATAAAAAACATAAAAAGTAAAAGGTTTATTCAGAAAAAATATCCTCAAAAGATTAATTGGAGGAGGAATTATATATTTTTCTTGGAATTACGGCAAAAAAAGCAATTGGAAATCAAAGGAAATTAAAATTGAATTAAGACATCAGCCTTTTGATGTATTTTTTTGGTACTATACATAATATTCCCACTACCAATAGCCAAGAACCACTTTGTTTTCTGAAAGATATAGGTATAATCAAAAGGGCAACGACATAATAACCTATATTTTGAGTAGTTTCAACCATAAATTACTTTATGGAAAGCCATTTTCTAAGGTTACCTAAGGTCGCAATTGAATCTTTTGAGTCAACCAAAAATAGATTTCTCCGTTCGGCTGTTCCCAAGCATCTACCGCGGGGGAAAAAGAAAACATAAGCGACCATAAATAACAAGCTATTTTTCTGTGATAAAAAATATGTCAAATTGGTATTATCGGCCATGTGTTTCACTTGGCTTTTCCCTAGTAGCTTTCGCCTTGAATCCAGCGGGAAATCAACTCAGCACAACTTTGATTTAAAATGGAAAAAATGCTTTGGGGAATAAGTTAAGAAAATATTTAATGGAATACACTGAAAGTGTTAAGGGATCGGCTTACAGGCAAATATGTGCTTAAAAGTGTGTTAATAATTTATTTTGCCAAATAGCAATGCAAATTCGACCTCACGAACGTGTCAGTAAAACCCAAAACGCAAATTCCGCAACGGAAATAGAAACAAAAGCACACAAAATGAAGTCATAGACCAAAAACAAAAACTATTTAACAAAATAATATAAAATTGCAAGTGATTTTCTTGATAATTATAGCACTTAACATATTGTGTCATACTTGTAGATCATTATAGTTGATATTTAATCTTGACTATTAAGGGTGGATCGCTGATAAATTCCACAGAGAACCAGACAGACAGCTTAAACATCAAGATTCCTAATGAAAACAAAAGTATTTTCAAGTCATGAAGTCATCTACCGTTAAAGAACAAACAAATTAAAATAAAATTCCAATTCGTTGAAGCAGAATCTAAGTAGCTTTGATTAATAAATATTTGCATTATTTTGTGTTTTCAGCACTTTTATTTTTATTTATAAAGCCCTGAGAACGTGTCCAAGCTACACACAGTGAAGTCATAAAGCAAATAAATAAATTATACAACCAATTAAAATCATATTAAAATTATTCACAAAGCTTTTGGCTTCAGATTCAGATACTTTTTGGTTCCATAGTTCTAGCAGGAAGATATATGGTACCTTCTAGATCGGCCGAGGGCCGGGTGCTGCGAAAGGGATTCACTCTACGGGGCTGCGAGTTGGGCCACCATCGCTGCAGCCAGCTGGGAGTATAATTCCGATACCAGTAACTCATCTTCTCTGGCTTCCGGCTAATACAATTCGGTTTAAATGGCAGCAAAGACCGTTGTAAGCCACAGTTTATGCGTTACGGTTTTAATAAAAGAGGCAGAACCGACAAAAGAAGAATAGAACTAACGGAAACTGCTCTCTAAACTCGTGGTAACTATGAATTATATATTTCTAGATCCGCTCGAAGCTATACCGGACCGAACACCGCGACGCTTTGAACTCAACTGATCGGAAATTGGCTTTCTCAGATAGTTTCGCCTGCTGCTGCGTGTGCCGCTCTCCGAGAGATCCGTCTACGTTCTGCTGCTCTCCAACATCTAGTCGGTTTTGTTTTGTTATTAATTACGTCCGAGAAGCCGCGCTTTGGCACGATGGACCCGTTGTGGCCAGAAGCTGAGACTACGTCATCGTTCTTCATTGGCAACATCGCCATCAACATGGTCATCAAGCGATATGAGGAGCTTGGAGTGCTCTCCAGAGGTAATATAAGGCTCGAACTGCTCTTATTAATCATTTCACTTGGCTGTTTATCATTAATTATTGTATAAACATCAAATTTTTCGCGGAGGCACATACCGCTTTTAGTCGTCAGCAGGTGTTTCACGCTTTTTGTTTATTTTAATTCAATTTTGCGAAATTGCAGGCATTAAATGAGCAATTCGATGGCTATTCCACCCTGTGGGCAGTCTCAACTATGAGTGTTTAAACACCCACGATAGAAGCTGACGATTTGCATTCATAAAAGGCAATAACTACAGAACAGAATGCATAATTGTTCGTACAAAGTAAATCAATTTGAAACGTCGGTGAGCGGAACACAGAACACAGAGATCAAATCACATTTTATAGCTGTGCTGCTATATAAAATAAATCAATTTCGAAAAATAAGTGAGAAGCCAACAAGGACATATGCAGCAAGGTGAAAATTATTACGCGATTTATTTTATCAAGATTACAAATTTATACAAAATTATGGGTTATTTATAAATATAAAACTAATTATATGTTTTAGAAACCTGTTTTCTTGGAAATGAATAAAAAAAAAAAGGGGGGAAAGGATATAGAGGGAATTTTTTACAAATTTTCAAAAACTTTAGACCATAAAAAATAATTAAAAATATGCTTTTCTTCCCCTATTTGGATTATAACAACAAGCAAAAACTGTTTTTGGTGACCTATATTTAGTACAAACTCTTAGCTGTACTTTACGACACTAAAAACTAATTTTTATATACATAACAAATAAGGAAATGAGTCAACTTTCAGTATCGCTAGTTCCTCTCCAAACTAAAGGTAAATACTTTGATAAAAATACCCAAAAAAAACCCACTTGCACTGAATTTTAAATCTCGTATAAATCCCAAATTTGGATGACATTCAATAGCAGCAGTTAGCTTACCAGTCTCGTCGGGATTTGGAGCGCCCGCCAAATAGTTGGCATTGAAATTGCGCATACGCAGCTTGGGCTCGTCGCTGCCATTCCTCCGACAGCACTCCGAATCCAGGCAATTCCATTGCTTCAAACACGAGAGCTTGTGGCCCATGTCTCGAGACTCACTGCAACCGGGTAATGCAGGCAATATGTTAAGTATTATTAACCAACTGAGAGGGCGTTAGTCTGGCCTTTATCTATTTGGACACAACCGGTTCTCAGGCCAATGATAAGCCGCAGTTTGTTGATTCGTAGGAGTGGTATTTGAACTTCGGATTGCTGCGGCTGCTTCACTGGAAACCCGCGCAATTACTGGCGACTCATGTTTTGGTTAAACAGCCCCGGGGTATGCGAAATCGACGGAGGCTTAAAACTGTAACAGCTGCGACACCGACGACGGAGAATCACGTCATCGACGACGATGGCTGAGGTGAACCGAAGCGAACTAGAACGCTCCGATGCTGAAATGATACTGCGATTGATTAGGCGAGAGGCAGCCGTGGAATCTTCGGCCAAGTGATCACACTTTACATAACCAAACGAGCAGATGCCTCCACAGCTGACCCCAGTGTCAGGCTAGTTGCTGGCCTCGGGTGTCCAAAAACCAGACATGCGTGTGGAAATTGATCGGCTTTAATGGAAAATAGGCAAAGTGAATCATTATTGACTTTGATTGCCACTTGTGGCAGCCTCTCTTTGGGATAAATGAATGCGGCATGCTGGATAGGTGTGGCTGTCTAATGACAATCTGTCTAGTGACAGCTACCTGTCAAAGTGAATAATCTAAAAAAGGGTTTTTGGCTGAGTGAATCGTAGTTTCTTAGAAATGACAAAGAATCACCGAGAATTTATGATCATTTTGGGTGAGAGGTTTAAATTACCTCACCTTGATGATTAATATTTTGAAGATCTAAACAATAAAAAGGCTGAAATATATATTTTACAACTATTTTGTTTTTATATTTGTTTGATTTTGGCCACTTTTTCTGCACCTAAAATATTTTCTGCACCTAAATAATCAATAAGAGAGAGGTACTTAGTATGTTCATTAAATATTTAAATATTTAATATTGAAATATATTGTTTTTTGTTTTGAATTGCCTTAATATTTCACCTAATGATTTTGTTATAATTTATACATTTAAATCACGCGCACATTTTTTTAGAACATCAACAAAAGCAACAAGTTTCAACAGCTGATGGCGATCGATTGCTTACAGGTTCTAAAAGCCAGCGCTGAAATGAGTAAACTTGTGATCGGTTGTCGTTATCGGTGATCTTGCTCAGTGACGTAAAAAATTAAGAGAATTTCTCTTCACTGCTCGCTGTAAGTGTAACAAAATCTTCGCTTTCAGTACAATTGCTTGCATTCCCAGCTATAGATGTTTCAATGTGTTCAAAATTAATGGAAGTCGCTTGCAATCAGTGGCCAACACTGAGAGATCTGTTTGCAGGGGATCGAAAAAATCTCACCGGTTTCGACCTAATAGACTATTTTGTAAACTATCAGCCAAAATCCAGCAACGAATCGATTAAGATATATACAACTGATAAGAATTGGTTTACACATGGCAACTATATGCTTATTGTGAGAGGTCGATCCTCAATAAAACTAGCTCAGCAAATTTATTTATGACTCTGATTTCAGCACACTGTACTCAGCAAATCCTTTGTTTACTTTGATACCGTCAAGGGATCTCTGGAAGATCTCAAGACTTTATTGTGTTCGTTGAATCTAAAAGAGTGTCATTTAATTTGTGGCTACAAGGAACGATATAAGCCTCTTGTTGAGCAGTATTGGCAAAGTTTGGGTCGAGACCTCAGCGAATTGGATCATCAGGGCACTATAGTTTACCACCTGCCAAGCTCTGAGATACAAGATTGGAAAGCCAGGTAATACAAATATTAAATAAATATGTGTATGATTCTTCGCTATCACTAATTTCAGCATAAGTTCTTCTGTTGTTGTGGGTTATCTCAGTTCCAAGCATGCCAGTTTGGTGGATCAGCATTGGGCTTATCGCTCTCCCGATTCCTTGCCCCTGATAAGGGGTCTCTTGAAGACCAATGTCAGTGCTGGGGTTTTCGATGGCCAAGGAAAGCCCTTGGCTTGGTGCCTTAGGTACTCAGAGAAATAAAATCCTGAATTGCTATTTTATTATATGTATTTTTCAGATCTCCCCATGGCAGCCTGAGCCACTTGCACGTTTTAGCTGCCCATCGTCGTCAAGGACTTGGATCCTTGGCAGTTCGTTTCATGGCTAAGGAAATTGTAGCCACTGGCTCTGAAGTTTTAGCCACAGTTGTCTTCGATAACGAAAACTCCCGCAGAATGTTTGAGAAATTAGGCTTTAAGCCCATCAATAATATATATTGGGCTGTAATTGCTTAGATTAAACACACAATTGTATTAGTAACATTTAAAAGCGAGTGCTCTTTTATACCCAATAAAATAACGCAAACAAGTGCAGTTTTTTTCTCCCTAGAAATACATTTTCTCTTTAAACAAGGCATGAAACACAGTTCTCTTATGCTTCCAGATTAGTACTTGACTGACTTTTGTGCAGAGAGGTTGTGTTGTGATGTCCGAGGCACTGGTCGAGATTCCCCGCAGCGATTGGGTAAAGCTGAGAGAATTGTATACCCACAGAGACACCGATCCCCTGGGCTATCCATGCATTAATAATTTCATACAGTGGGTGGAAAAAGACCCTAGTCTGAAGGTCAAGTTCTTATCGCTAAATGGTGACTGGCAGAAAGATGGAACCTTTATTTTGACTGTAAGTAATGCAGATATATATATACATATATATACATACAAACATATCTTTACTTTTTTCTCCATTTAGTGGCACAGGGATGTCGGGCTTAACCACCTCTACTTCAACACCCTCAGTGAGAATTTAGACACCATAACAAAGGCTCTCGAAGTCTTAAAGCCTCTGGAAAATGAATACATATTCTTTGGCTTTGCCTCTCGTTTTAAGCCTGTAGTCGAACATATAGGCAAGAAGTTTTACACCAAAGAACTCTTTGTTGTTGGCACAGTTTGGTATAAGGCCAGCAAGGAGCTCGTGGATACTTTTACTTTTGAGTGAGTTAATATTTGTCGACTATTTTTCTGTTATATTAAAGTATATATTTTAATACAGGGTCCCACCAGGCCTTACTCTGGGAAATCTGTCTGTTAAAGATGCCGAAACTATAAATGAAATCTGGCCGCATCGTGCCCCTGGATCCGTACATTTTGTAAGAAATTTAATCCAACTTAATGTTAATACGGGAGCCTACGATGAGAATGGCAAATTGGTGGCCTGGTGTTTAAGGTGAGAGTACCAATCATTTTAAAATGTAATATTATATATATTGAATATCTTTAGATTGCCAATTGGTTCTTTGGGCCTGCTGCAAGTTTTAGACTCTCATAAACGTATGGGTCTGGGCCAACTGATGGTCAAGTCCCTGTCCAAGAAGATTTCGGCTCTGGGCGATCAAGTTCTGTCTCCTGTAGTCCACAAGAACACAGCTTCTAGGAATATGTTTGAGAAAATCGGTTTCCAAGCTATCGACACAGTTTACTGGGCTGATTGAGGAATTTATTCATTTAAAAATGCAGTATTCATAGCCAACAAAAAATTAACACAAAAAAAAAAAATACTAATAATAAAACAGAAATGAAATTTAGTGATATTTTGTTTATATTATTTGATTTTAATTATTTTATAAAAAGAAATTCAACTTAATAACAGCAAACATTACATTAAACTAATGTAATCTTTACCGGAAGATCATAGATACTTTTTATACATACATTAAAAATTATTCCAATTATTTGTTTAGTCATCATAGCACTAAAAGGTTAAACTAATTGTAGACTTATGAGCTGGCAGAGATGAGTGAGATTTTGAAAAGAGGCACTGATAATAAAAATCGCGTGAAAATTGCGAGTTTTATTAGTTAAACAGGTTATCGGAGGGACATTTTTTGGAGAGGATTGAATTCTATCTAATTTGAGATCCCAATGTTATAACAAAAGTTTGAATTTCAAAGTAGACATTAGGACCTTATTTTGTAGAATTAATTATAGTTTTTTAAGTACATATAAGCTATGAATATTTATATATTTTTTTTTTATATTTATATCTTTTTTCCTTTACATTTAAAAATTATAATCACGTTCAGGATTTTTTATTTACTTTCCGAAACGTGTGATTCCATCTGTCCCTGTTTTTAAGTTGTCAGAAAACCTTGGAAATTCCGGAAGGGGCTTTCAATGTTTTTGACTTTTGCTTTAATCTTTTTAAAGATTACGCCACGCCTAAATTTATTGAATATATTTAACTTTACTTACTGCAATCATTTAAACGAATTCTAATAACATATAAGCTAATTTTATGTTTAAACAAGTCTCACAATAAATCGATTAGCACTAGAGTAACGTTTCAAGTGACTTAATTAATTAATTAATTGTATAATAAAAGTTGATTAATTTTATAATTAGAAAACCCTTACACGTGTTTTTAAATAGCCTTAGAATAGCTTTTATTGGCGTAAATTTCGAACGACGCTGCAGAGCTTATATTATTCATATTTCCCAGGTAATTATAGATGCAAGTCAGAAATTCTTGTGGGACAACCGCCAGCATCATCGCTGAGCACATCTTATTCTTATCCTAGGTGGGGGAGATCCCCAGATTCACAGTAGCAAAGTGCCACCTTAAGCAAACTTTCCAATGACAAAGCCGAGAATACGCACCTAACATAAATCATATAGTATAGCTTTTACCGTATACCGCTCACTGCTTATATATATATTTAAAATATTTACTCAGCAGCAAGCGCACGAGCTTTGAGCCATGGACGTCACGGGTCAGAAGGCGGAGCTTCATGGAGTGAAAGAGAGATCCCCGGAATGGATTTCCGGCACACATAGTTCGGAGAAGTGCAGGCGGAGGCAAAGAGTCAATACAGAAAGTACCGATCGTCGAAGATCAATAACAAGTGCAGAAATTGTGGCGGGAATGTAAACAAATCTCGGGTAAACCCGGTGAGTCGGCGAATAGCTCTCCAAGATCAGCTGCGAGAGCGGCTTGATAACGAGTTTCCGATTCCAGTTTTATAAAGATGCGCGCTCAGCTCAGTTCCAGCTCAGTTTGGCTTTAGCAATTCGAACGGACACATTGCGTCTAACCCGATTATATATATATATACATATAGAATATATATATATATATATTTAAAGCTATATATAGGTTCCGTGTGCGTTCAAGATTATTAGTGGATTGTTACAAAATGTGGCGCTTGATTCTGGCCTTCCTGTCGCTGAGCGTGGTGTGCTGCCAGTCGGAACTGTTTCGGGATGATATCAGATCGCCAGAGAACGTAGCCAACGTGCACCGCCTGATAGAGGAGAAGAGGCAGCGCGAGGAGCAGCAGCAGAGGCCACAGGATGTACGCCAGCCACAGGTGCAGGTGGTACCATCTGTACAGCACTCGGAGCTACATCCAGATCAGCAACTTCATCAAGCTCCATCCGTGCCCTTCCCAACGCTGGCGCCTCTGCAATCCCCCAGTCTGGTTAGCGGCTTTGCCAGCCAGAGCGATCCCGTCAATCCCCGCTTCGGAGCCAGCGCCATTAAGCAGCCTTATCCCATAAGTTCTGGACTTGGAGCCACGCACGTCGATCTGGCTACCTCGGAGCAGATTTCCCGATCTGTTCTGCTTTTCGCTTACAACTTGGGACAGCATATGGGTATAAGGAAAACCGAGATCTTCTCGCCGCTGAGCATTGTTCATTCACTGGCGCTGCTCTATCTGGGCGCCAGGGAACGTAGTTACAATGAGCTGGCCGCGGTCTTCAAAATCGAGGACACCAACAAGTTGCACCAACAGTTTGGCCTGATGCTGCAGGATTTGCAGCAGCCCACCCTGGATCAGGTGTCTCCCGGCCGTCCTCTGACCAACTGGCGGGCCACAAGTCCGATGCGGGCGAACCGCAAGTCCCAGCGACCGGGAGCCCATGAAGTGCACCTGGCCAACGGATTATTCACAGCCACCGGCTTTACGCTCAACCCTGACTACAGGTAAGCTTTGATCCGCTCCGAGATGCGGGTAATTGACTGCAAACTGGATCTGAAGTGAGAGATCAGGTTGGGGATGGGCGCTGGGAAATGCCAGACGATTAGCGGTTGCCTTGAGAGGGTACACAGAGAGAAAATAAGGAACTATCGTTCTAACTATTCATTTTTGTTATAATATTTACATTTTTTTGGGCAAGAAACGCTAGAAGAGTTCTTGTGGTCGGTTTTCTCATATCGAATTAAGGAGTTCATTGCTTAATTCCAGGCAATTATCCATTAAATCAAAATAGTTTTCAAAAAATCTATTTTTTAAAATACTTCAAAAAAAAATTAATGTTGCAGTGTAAGAAAATTACACACACATTTCCAGTGCGATATCACAACACGTGCTTTCATTGAGAATTCTAAACCTAAAATGTTTACTATTTAATAATTAAAATCAGCAATGAAGCAAAATTTCCAAGTAGGAATGGATTTTAAAATAATTATAATTTGTGCTTAGAGGGTTAATTTAATTAATCCTTTACAATGATTAACAGAAATCTTACTTATATTGTTGTGTAACCGGAACCGGAATTAATTAAAAATACGATTTTGAAACAAGATAAGCTCGGTAATCCAATTATTATACAATTTAAATATTGACCCTGAAACTGAAATCGCAAAAGTTTAAAAAAGCTTTGTTATCAGTTTTGCGAGATGGAATTCAGAAAACTCGAAAGCGATCGTTTAACTTGTTTTTATATATATAAACAAACAACTGAGCTTTTTTTAAATATTTAATAGGTATAATAGGAAAGCCAGGATTAATATTGTGTGTGATATGATATATTGAGGGTTTATTAAGGTGGAGCATTTAAATCGAAAAGGGAGCTATAATAGGCTTAAAATCAGTTTAAGCGGTTCTACAAAAATTAGCTTAGCACACTTTTAGACAGCATTTCAATAGATTTGAAAATCAAAAGCCACTACCTGACACTCCTTCTTACTCAAAGTTTTCTGTGGGTTATTTGGTATTCAGTTACATAGCCAGCTCTCACATAGCTTCCCCATTAACTGCTCCACTTTGCATATCCAACGTTGTTTGCATGACAAACAGGTGATTTTTAGGCTCGGTTACTTATGCGTTCTACTTTGGTGCAATTACAGGACGGTGCTCACCGAGCTGTACGGAGCCGAGCTGGAAGTGCAGGACTTCGAGGGCAATCCGGCGACATCCACGTACAACATTAACCGCTGGGTGGCCGAGCACACGCGAGGCCATATTAAGAACATCATTGCCAGCGAGATCCCGCAAAGCACGCGGATGATCCTAGCCAACGCCCTGTACTTTAGGGGCTTCTGGGAGACGGATTTCATTGAGTCGGCCACGCGACCGGACAACTTCTATCCCAATGGCGAGGGAACGCAGCCGGTACTGAGGGTGCAGCTAATGGCCACCGGTGGCACCTTCCCGTACCACGAAGATGAACAGTTGGGCTGCCGAATCATTGGACTGCCCTACAGGGGAAACCTGAGCACAATGTACATCATCCAGCCGCTGAAGTCCTCAAAGGTTGAGTTGATGGCCCTGCAAAGGCGTTTGTCGCCGGAAAGGATCGAGGAGCTTATCAGCAGGATGTACAGGCGATCGGCCATTGTGGCCATACCCAAAATGCACCTCACCGAGTCCGTCAATCTGAAGACTATGATGCAGAATATGGGTCTGGGCGGAATCTTTAGCACCGTAGAAAATGATCTCTCCCTGATCGCCTCACACGAGACTCGAGCTTCAGCTCGTCGACGTGCCGTCACCACAAATTCCCTAGGCGGTAACAGTCTGCAGAATCTGGAGGCCCAGCGAAGGGCGCCGGGTGGAGCACACTCCGATCTGGTCGTCGACGACATTGTTCACAAGGTGGACTTCAATGTCAACGAGCAGGGAACTGAGGCGGCGGCAGCCACCATCACCTATCTAAAGAAATCCGGCCCGGATGTGATCTTCCGGGTGGACACTCCGTTCATGGTGCTGGTGCGTCACGATCCCACCAAGCTGGTGCTCTTCTACGGCCTCATCAATGAGCCACCGGCGACTTATTAACATTAAGCTAAATCTTAATTAGTTAAGCACTAGTTGCTAAGTTCGTTGACTCTAGTTAGGAAGCCCATTAATCATTTTAAATGATGCAAATAAATTAAATCATAATTATAATATAGGAAAACCACCTGGAAACTTGTCATTTACTCAGTGCTCTGATTTGTTAGGGTATTTTTTATCGTATATTTCAATCTGACTTGAATATAACCTGTAGAAATTATAGAAAGCTTTATAATTTCCCGGCCTTTTTACGACAGTTTCCAGAAGAAACACTATTTAAATTCAAATTTATAACTTAAAATTGTGGTTTATCGCCCACAATCTGGCAACACCATGATGAGCGGTTCGTTATCGATTTTAGTAAGACCATTTTTCGTTGTACAATAAACATCGATGTATAGAATTTTTTTAAATATTTATGGTATCGATAGCGACACCAATATTTTCACATCTCTATTGTTTTGCCTCAAAAAAGTAAATTATTCATTAAACTCGGTTTTAATAGTACCAGCCCACTGTAAAATGATATCCCTACCCGACACAGACAGTGAGGATGAGCTGCCACCCGGCTGGGAGGAGAGAGCGACCGACGATGGCACCGTCTGCTATGTGAAGTAAACAAAGGTCAAGTGGAGTAATAAAATACAACCAATAACAATTTACTTTCCCATTAGCCAACAAAGTAAGACGTCGCAGTGGACGCACCCACGCACAGGTCGCTCCAAGCGCATCACCGGTGAGCTGCCCTTGGGCTGGGAGAAGTACTACGATGAGCAGGGCAAGCGGTTTATGTTCATCAACAAGGAGACGCAGCAGCGTACAAATGTGGATCCCCGCTTGGCTTTTGCCGTGGAGGAGCCAACGCAGAATGTGGCGCAGGTGCGGCAGCGCTTTGATTCCTGTTCCACTGCCCTGCAGGTGCTGCACGGCAAGGATCTGCATGGCCGCCTGGCTCTCATCACGGGTTCCAACTGTGGCATTGGCTTCGAAACGGCTCGTTCATTGGCCCAGCACGGCTGTGAGATCATATTCGCCTGCCGGAACAGAAGCTCTGCAGAGGCTGCCATCGAAAGGATTGCCCAGGAGCGCCCGGCAGCCCGGGCCCGCTGTCGTTTCGCAGCCCTGGACTTGAGCTCCCTGCGCTCCGTTCAGCAATTTGTTAGAGAAATCAAGCAGAGCGTAAAGTAAGCTTATAGCCCATCTAAATACAAAAATAAGAAATACTTATGAAGCCTCTTATCTACAGCCATATTGATTATCTAATACTGAATGCCGGCGTTTTTGCTCTGCCCTACACTAAGACCGTTGATGGTCTGGAAACCACATTCCAGGTCTCGCACCTGTCCCATTTCTACCTCACATTGCAACTGGAGACGCTGTTTGATTATAAAACACGAATTGTGGTTCTGTCATCCGAATCGCACAGGTAAATTGGAATTTCAGTATTTAAACACGTAAATAAAAGGGGGTGAAACAAGGCTTGGGGGAGTAGAGAGTGACATATCTTAATTTACCTTATACTTTGGTAACCTCAAACTTTTTTTTGCAAACTAAACTTTTTTTTTAAGATATTTTAATGTGTTTTTTTACCCTAAATTGAAATACAATTGTTACCTTTTAAATTGTATATGATACTTCCAAATTTTTGAATTTGAATACTTCTGGCATAAATAAAATATAGAAAATTAATTAATAATAGGAAGTTCTTATTAAGAACAATACCAAAGCAGATTTATTTAAATCAATGATATAATACTTTAATACATAAAGCATATCCACTTTTTATTGCCTGCACTGTAAATCTAGTTTCAAGTTCCAAACTTTTATTTTTTGCCGGCAAGCAATGGCCATTAATGCAACCGGTATGGTGATTGGACTCTTCCAAATGCGCAATTTTTAATTTGTGATAAACATATCTTGCTTTTTAAATTTAAACTTAATATAAAGAATACAAAAAAGGCGCGATAAGCTACTTTCAACAAGTTCTGAATACTATCAAAGGTCCAAAGTGTATTTTATTCAGGAATTGGGTCAAATCACTTGACCACAACTAATTTGTTTGTGGAAAAGATGAAAAAGCATTTAAATAATATATTTTAAATGACTTTTAATATAATATTTAAATTAAATACTTTGTTTTTTAATAATCTAGAAATCTGCTGTTTTCAAAATCTCCAAACATAATAAGAAATAGTGGATATTTCCTAGTCGCTATCTCCAATTAAACATTCACGTCTGGCATTCCAAGTTGTCGGACTTTTTATTTGTTTACGAGTTGATTGCACTTTTCTGCCTCCACATTGTGGACTTTGGACCGACCGGTTTCTATTGGCGCTTTGGGGGCAAACTATTCATGGCGCAGCCAGAAATAACTATGCATATTTCTTGCCCAGCCATGCCGGCTAGTGTAGCACCGTCTTCCAAAATTACTTCTGTTTGCTGTACATCTCGTGCGGTTTTGTTTACAATACATTTTTTTTTTTTTTCAAGGCAAAGCGTAGTTGAACTCGGCTTGGAAATTCATTTTTTTCTCAGCCTACGACGGTTTCGTTTACATTAAGTGCTGCGCACTTGTAAACAAAGGCCACAACATAAAGAAAAATAATTATGACGCTGGCACAGCTGTGATTGTATTATCAAAACAGAAACCCCTTTCTATATTCCCTCTGGCCCTCGATTTTTATGCCTGCCTCACTGATTTGGACATAAAAACAATCAGCCTCACGTGCAGACGTAAAGCACAGTGGGCCGAAAGGGGGGCTTCGGAAAATATGTACGTAAAATGGCTTAGTTAAGATAAAGTATAGGTAGATAGGTATAGAATGTCTTTATATTTGTTACATGTATGTATGTAGTTATTAGATAATAATACATACATATTTATTAGAAAGGTCGGTGGTATAGGGTTCCCCTACAATTAGCTGTGGAGTTGAAATTTAATCATACCAAAACCATAAAAAAATACTTTATACATATTTATTTAATTTTTTAATATTTATAAATGAATTATTTATTAAAAGCACACCTAAAACATTCACATTTTATTAAATTTATCATTATATAAAATTTTATAATGTAACAAACATATTTTGTACTTTTCAAACCCAAACTAAGTATAAACAGTGATACAGACTGCTTTATAAATTTACGAAACAAAGCCAGGAGCTGAATGATTCTGGCAAAAATAGCCCCCCTCAATTGCGGTAATCTCCGCTAACTCGCTTAATTAGATTGATTAATTTGGGGGAACGACTGACCCACTGTGCGAGCTGTCGGAGATAAATCATCTGGCAAACTGGTCGCGTGAAGCGGCGGAAGAACTTGAAGCCAAAATGAACCAAAATGGATTTTATGTAGTTGCTTTCGGAGGTGGTTTTTATATCTGCTGCGTTCGTTTTTTCCAGCACGTACAACATTTTCGGCTTCACAGAGCGAGTACATACACAGATATCTTGCTTAGCCTGGCGAACGTGCCACAGAGAGTCGCGTGCGCCACTCGGTGGAGTACTCGCAGATAGTCATGTATGCCACCAAACACAGTTTGTTCCAGTTCAAGATATTGTATCTGTGATGATGCATTGCGTTCGGTTCCTATTGGGGTCAAACTCTGAGCAATCGGCCTTAGGTGCTAACTGATAATCACTTTCGAAGGGTAAATAAACAGATTTACTGCTTTGTGCAATTCAAATGATTTTATTTATTCCCACCAGCCTGCAGAAATTTTTAATGTAGTCAAATTTATTCTGTGCGAAGCACTGAATAACAAGTTGTATATAATTTGGGCGTTTATAAAGTAATAAAGATATAAATACTTAATATTATTTCAATGTTATTATAGAATTTGAAATTTAAAGAATTTATAGCAAAAACTTTTTAGAATTTTAACTACTATTACTATTACTATTACTATTTTTATTAAATAAGATTAGGAAAGTTAGCATAAATTCAAATTAAGACAGTAAGACGGTGAAATTTTATTTTGAATGGATTTCTGAAGCTGATTTATTTTTGTTTTAAACATTTTATTTAAATACGTTACTCTGGAATCTCCCTAATAACTACAGAAAATTATTTCTGAATTAAGAACCACTTTTCAAGCAAATCTGCTGCTATTTAGAGAACAACTTTCTGCATTTCTACTTCCTTTAACTGCATACTAACCAGATACGTTCTTTGTCTTTTTGTTATTTAAATATACGTACGTATTTATTAAGACCAGATAACATGCAACCAGTAGTACCTACCACAACATGTGCAAGACCCACGCCAACGGGACGGAGGCTAGTTCTATTTATCATGGATGCGGCCCATACTTATAAATAAAACTGAATTTGCATACATTTTGCGACGTTATTTTTACATCGCCCCCAAGCCGAGCGCAGATAGACTCCATATACTCGAAATGAAAACAAATCCAAAGTCCAAAATGTGCGCGAGGTGCTGTAGAAACGTTGTCATGTTGCGGCTCCTCCAAATCCTCAGGGAGTATGCGACCCGCGCATGCGCTACACGTGACCAAGTTTAAGAGGGGGCTTCCCCTTGTTTGTCGGGGCGGGGAAATATATATATGTATAGTATAGGGTCTACCCGACAGAGTTCAGTATTTATTTCCGAGTGTCCTTGTTTATTGTCTGGCTTTTGTTTCGACTGCCACCACTTGTTGTGCCCTTTGTCTGCGCCGTCTTAGTCATAGTACTGCACTATGCTATGTTTTTGTTCCTCTTGAATCTGGATCCCATTAATGAAGAGCGTTAAACGCCGGCTATGCCAGTGCCAATGCCAATCAAGACTCGTTTTGCGATTGTCGACCGAGGCGGGAGCAAAGTCCAATGGGTTCAGCCGGCTGGATGATGTGTGTATATGGCAAAGAAGTCGGACGCGGCGGGGCGGGGACAAAGAAATGCGACGTATAAAAATCACAGAACTCCACCTCCACTATTTCCTTTCAGATTTGCCAATCTGCCCGTGGAGAATCTGGCGGTGCATCATCTGTCGCCGCCGCCAGAGAAGTACTGGAGCATGATGGCCTACAACAATGCCAAGCTGTGCAATGTCCTGTTCGCCCAGGAACTGGCCCAGGTGAGAGACAAGACCAAATCTGGTCTCAAATTGGATTGACTTACTTGGTACTCTCCCTTTCCCAGCGCTGGAAGCAGCGAGGTATCTCTGTGTTCAGCGTACATCCCGGCAATATGGTATCCACCGATATCTCGCGCAACTATTGGTTCTACCGCCTGCTGTTCGCCATAGTGCGTCCCTTTACGAAGTCCCTGGTAGGTGGTTCTCTCTCCGTTTTGGCTTGACCCTACACTAATTATTTGCTACATTAGCAACAAGCGGCCGCCACGAGCATATACTGCGCCACAGCCAAAGAGCTGACGGGCTTGTCCGGACTGTACTTCAACAACTGTTTCTTTTGCGAGCCCAGCAAGCTCTCCAGGAGCGCCACACTGCAGCAGCAGCTCTGGCAAGTCAGCGAACACTTGCTCACCGAACTTTTGGAACAGGAGGAGCATTAGCTCAAGTCGTAAGTTTGGTTTTATATATTTAATAATATTTATACATGATGCAATAAAGGTCCTTGGTAATTATAATAATAATTGATGAGGGTTGTAAATCCTTTTTGAGGTACAAAGTCTAAAACAAACAAAAACGGGATCGATGTGATTTAATTTGTTTAATTGTAAGCAATCCAGACAAACTAATGGGAAGACCAAGTATGCAAATCAACTAGATTTCTTAGCTGAAACGGGTTCAACCACGAGTTAATGTAAACGCAATTGTCTGTTTAGCTTTAAAAATATTCTGTATTTCTTTTTTTTTTTTTAACACTATAAGTATACATTTTGTTTTGTTTTTTCGATTTCAATTCTTAGTGGGTAGCATTTAAATAACAGCCTAAGTACTAGCTAAGGAACTCTTTGGGGGACTAGAAGTCGGAGACGCGGCCCTTGCGCTCCCAGTCGCCGTAGCGCGTTGGCTCCGGTCCGGCCGGTCCGCCGATCTCGCCCGTGTACGGATTCGTCTGGTTGGGCCACGGCTTGAGGGGCTCCTTCTCCTGGTAGGGATGGCGCGAGAACTCGTCCAGTTTGCCCAGCGGCGTCTTGGCGCGCAGCTTCTTCTGGAAGGCCATCAGCTTCTGCGAGGGCGTCGTCTTGGGCTCCTTAATCTCCACCACCATGTCGTTGCCGCCCACGGAGGCTGCCCGCCAGGCGCTGCTCGTCGACAGGTAGCTCACTGCTCGGAAGGGCGAAAATAAATCGTTAGCACCGCGCACAGGGAACACTCTAAGCACACACAACAACACACACCTTGCTTGCCCATCTGGGGAAGGGCTCGCGCCGATTGCCTGGCCATGGATTGCATTTTGTTTTGATTTGTTGTGAGTGTTCTCGGTTATTATGCAAGATGCCGGGGCAGGTCTCCTGGTTTGCCACTTGTTGTTTGCGTTTGATCACTGGCTTTGGTTCACTGCAGCTCGAGAGTTATTATCACTCGCTTGGATGTGCGCGTCTGAATTGGAATCTGAGGCTGCGTTTCGCTTTTATAGCCCGCGCCGCTGTTTAGTTTATTTATTTTTCCGCCCCCAAACAGCGAGCAGTGAGACCGTATATGGTTAGGTGACGTATTTTTGGTATTATACTGCAGAGAAACAGCTGACGTTACAGTTTGAAACGTAACGAATATGATTACGTTACAGTTTGAAACGTAAAATGTTTTCACATCCCTTAACAACATGTTTTTAAAAGCATTGATGCGACAACCCCACAGACGATACGGCAACTCCGCTCGTTGACGTCTTCAGAATCCAGTAAATTCAAATGGGAAAAACGTTAATTACGTAATATAGCAATACAGCTGCATAATAATATAGCATTGTGACAGACTGCAACTCGAATTAAAGCGATCTGTTTATAATTATTAAATTTTAAAAAATGGATTATTTAAGTCTCTTAAAAAAAAATACTTAAGGGGGGACATCTGAGTAACTTTTTTTAAAAATCGAAAACATTTTTTTTGCTTAAAAAACACTCTAGGGTCTTAAAAATAACATATCAAAAGATAGAGTCCGGCAAAAGTTTCTAAGTGTCGAAATTTTCCATTCTGCGGCGATGCCTCACATGTAATCATATACGATTTTAAAACTTTAAACGCGTTTTTCTCAGAACCACTTTTTTTGAGTTGGCCGAAAACATAACTCGAACAAATCTTAACCGATCGATCTGAAATTGCGACAGTATATCCAAAATACCTATGGCTATCGACACACGTAAGATTTTTTTTTTTTTTTGCTAATTTTTTTTTTATCAACAATTTTGTGACGTTTTTTTTTCATGAAAATTGAAAAAATTTTTAATCACTCACCATTTTGCTAAAAATCAAAATATCGAAAAAATCTTACGTGTGTCGATAGCGGTTGAGATCAGAAACTAACAAAATTTGATTTTTTGTTCTAGATCAAAAATTAAGGACGTTAGGTTTTCGGCCATGGACCCCATTTTGTTTTCGATTTATAAAAAAAAAATTTATTTTGTAGTTCACATCTAATTTTTCGATTGGCTTTTTCATTTGGCCAAAAAAAAAATTCTAGAAAATGGGCTTTTTTTTGCCAGTTACTCAGATGTCCCCCCTTAAAGCTATCATATTATATACTCGTGCCCTGTTGCATAATTATTTAATTATTCATTTATTATATATTACTTTATTTATACATTTTAAACTGGCAGTTGACTAGGCATTATCGAACTTATCATTATAATTCAATATATTCAATTATAAATTCCTTGTAACGCCCAACAATCAACTTTCAATCAATTAACAAGTGTAACACTAACCGATACGATCTTTCAGCTTAAAATACATAAGCCTCGATCGTGACAATCAATCGGTAATAGGGGCTTCTCATGTTTTCAAATCGACTTTTTCTTTCTGCTGTTATATATTTTACGCTGATTAGAAACAGTGGTTTCTTAAATGGAAGCAATATCTCTCACCCTTTTTGATTTTTCGAAGTGCCTCAAAGGCCGCCTGGGCCTTACCTCCTTATCGCCCTGAGCCATCGTCAATTGGGAGCAGACGATTAGGAATTGGGGTCCGGACATTATCACAACTTATCAATCGAAAACCAAGATCTCTCAGCAAACATGCAGGGCGTAAAACCCAAAAAACGAGGAAATACTTTTGTAATATTTTAAATTGCAGGTTAAAGTTGTCTTTTTAGTACTTGTAGAGCACTTGATTTGGGGAATTATAAGATAATAGCCACGCATGGAGTCGTCGAATGATAACCCCAGAATATGGAGCTATTGAACCGGGGTGTTACACTTACACACCAAGCGAGTCTCGACTATAAACTGAAATTCACTGAAAGAAATTATCTCAATACAATAGTCTTATTAATAATTTAATACATTTTTAGCACGGTCCGAAAAAACCTTGTAATTTAACTCTTTTTCTCATAGTCGATCGTGTAAATTTGTTTTCATAATTTATACGTCATCAATAAATGCAACAATATGTCAGCATGCGTTTAAATTTTCGCTTATGCATTCCAAAAATTGCTACCAACACAATTATAATAAGAAAAAAAAAACAAATTGGACAGAAAACTGTTTAGTTTAAGAATATTCTGGTTGTCAAAGTTTTAATTTATGAAACTATGTATTCCTTTCATAAACCTAGATACATATATTATAAGTTCTCCCTTATTAATACCTGTTTAAACTCCAATAACATTTCTCAGTGCATAAATTAACGTTTTTTCTCAGGCTCAGTATCGCTTTATTCTGTCATTTATAAGCATTTTCTGTCGCTGTTCTATATAGCCGTCTTCTCGTATTGAAAAATATACATGCTTTCCTATCGACAGCTCAGTCGTTATCAAGACGGCACTCGAAGCGGTTCGATTGCTACTACCAGACCAAGAACTACGAATACTCAAACTAGTCAGGATCGAAAGTGAATTAAATATAGTACATATGTAAATAGTTAGCACAGATACTCGAGGAGCTTAAGAAGTGGTTCTGCGGAAAGTCTTGCAACTGGCTCTGCATTATTATTATCAGAGTTGCCCGATAACCTACAACCTGAGTCGTGGACTTGGGCTCGAATCAGTGCCAGCTCAGGCAACATAAGGAAGTGGGAGTGAATCAGAATCGCTGAGAAACAGCGAGCAAAGACCCCAAAAACCAAGTGAGTTTTCAAAAAACTATTAAGACATAGACAAAACAAAACTGGGATCACAAGGCTTGGAAAACGTTCAAGTTAGGACTAAACTGCAATACAGGATTTCATTAGGAAACTAATGACTAGATCAGTTTTAAACATATTTAACCTGTAACGCCACTAGCTATACCATTACCCTAATATCACAGTACTACTTTCTGTATAATTTGAATTAAAATATCCTACAACAAAAAAGAGCTTAAAAGCAAATAAGTAAGTGATTCTGTTGAATTCAAGAACAGGTAAATAACTCTGGCGTAAATTCAAATTGTTTACGATATTATTCTGGAATTCCACGTTAAGTAAGCTTTATCTAGTGCAAAATTGTTTATAAATAATTACATAAAATATTAATACTAAAGACGCGTAATTAACTGAAATCAATCTGTGAGTAAGCTGTTTATAAATATTTACATTTTAAAGACATTTACGCTATCCTGGGGGCAAAAAAATTATGAAACTTAATTTGCATGGAAAATTAAATGCAAGCACTCAATCTTAATTGTAACAAATATTATTCATTGAACGAAGTTAATTCCGAGATACTTAAACTAGACCAGTTTTTAAAACATTATGTAAATTTAAATTGGCAAACTGCTTAACTGCAGGAGCGTTTGAAAACTAAGATAAATTTAAACGGTTTGTAGATAAGGTACTACCATTTACTACCATTTATTAAACGGAATTTTTTTTTGGCATTATAAATTTCTGCTACCAAATAAATGTATCAAAATGGTAAAAAACTTATTGACGTGTTAAGGCAGAAGTGGAGGGACTAGCTGGGCTATGAAATACATTATATTAATTAACTAAAGTCCAATTTCGTTTTATCCTTCAGAGACCGCATTTTTATCATTAGCCAATATGATTGGGAAAAATCGCATTCTGCGGACTAGTGCCATGGGAATACTCTTGGCCACCTGCAGCCTGTCCGCACTGGTTTACATGGAGATGATCGAGCGCTGGGTGCTCAAGTGCTTTATGGTTCTTAAGCCGGGCGCCTTTATCACCGATCTGTGGCAATCGCCGTCAATGGATGTAACCGTGGACTTGTACATATTCAACTGGACGAATTCGGAGAGCGTAAGCGATCCCACTGTAAAGCCGCGATTCGAGGAGGTTGGCCCCTATCGCTTTACGGAGCAGATGCAGAAGGTCAATGTGCAGTGGCATGATCACAACTCTACGGTGTCCTATATGCGCCGAAGTCGCTTCGATTTCGTTCCGGAACATAGCGCCGGGCGACCCTCGGATCCCATTGTGACGCCCAACCTGCTCATCGTCGGTATCTACCAAAAGATGCTATTGTGGAGTCCGATGGTTCGAACACTTATGCTAATGGCCCTTAGCGTGTACGGCAAGGAGCGCACGATGGTACGGCGCGCCGGCGAATGGTTGTTCGACGGATTCAACACACCACTGATGAAGGTGAGCAAGTTGGTGCCGCCAAGTATACTGCCGGAGGTGGACTTTCCCTACGAGAAGATCGGCTACGCTTATCCAGTAAGTACAAGAATTACATGGCTAAGCCACTGACTCAATCTTAATTATCTTTTTGAATTCATAAATTAATTGATTAATTATTCGCATAACACCTACATTGTATCTGAACAAGGTTGTTACAGATTCCTAAGCAAATGCTGATAAGTGCTGTTCAAATGAATATTCATAATGACTAATTGACTAATCGTAGCGCAATGGCAGCATGGAAATTTACGGCCACCATAACGTCTACACGGGCCGAGACGACTTCCAGAAGTTGGGTCAAATAGCTCGATGGCGCTACAAAAACGTCACGGAAGCCAGCCCCCGCTGCTTACTAAAGGGCAGCACTGGGGAGTTCCATCCAATTCCGCTGGTGAAGGGCAGGCCCATCTCCTATTTCCTGCCAGACCTGTGCCGCGAACTGCAGGTGGATTACTCTGGCACCACCATCTTCGAGGGCGTGGAGGCGTTCGTCTACAGGGGCAGTGCCCGAAATTTTGCGAATGGTGAAAGCATTAACATTTAATTTGTAATTGTAATTTAAATATATTCTTCATTTTTAGGTACAGACAATCCGGATCATAGGTGCTACTGCCAGGAAAACTGCCAAGAGGTGAGATCCGGTCTCCTAAATATATCCTCCTGCTGGTACGGAGCGCCCGTTTTTGCATCCTATCCGCATTTCTACAAAGCCGATCCCTACTACAGGGAGCAAGTGGAGGGTATGAAGCCCGATAAGGACCGTCACGAGATGGTCATTATGTTAGAGCCCAAGACGGGCATGGTGCTTGAGATCAAGGCTCGCATTATGGTCAACCTGCTAGTGGAACCCAAACACATATCGTAAGTTCAAGTCAACAGACCGAGATATATGTACAAAGTTTTTAAAATACAACATTTTATCATTTACAGGGTTTACCGAAACGCGCGAAAGACCTTCTTCCCACTGATTTGGGCGGACTACAATGTGCACGTAACAGATGATCTCCTAGGCTATTTGAAGCTTATACCGATCCTCGAAATGGTGGGCAAGATTTGCTGCATCTTGGGAGTTACCCTGGGCGTGCTGATGTTGTTCTGGTACCCTCACCAGCTGTTCTGGCAGAAGCGTCTGATGCACAAAATCGAGATCAACACTATGGATACGCCCAAGATCTCTGCCGACCCAACGAAGAGCAGCGGTGTGGAAGATTCACCACTACTGAATGGACTGCAATATGTTGGGTCCAATGAGGGGCCGGACTGTGCCCACTGAGGGCTGGATAGGGTTTAAGTCACGACGTAGGGTTAAGTTTGCAGGGTTTTATCTTGCCTAGTCTTTAAAGTCTAAGGGACGGTTTCACAGTGTCCAGTTAGGGTGGGTAAAAATAAAAATGTACATTAAAACATTTACTGCCTGATTTTTAAAACCTTTGGCAAATAATTTTTAAAAATATTCAAAGCAACACAATTATTGACTGCATCCTTGATATTATATTATCCGAGAATTGTTAATTAGATTTTAAGAAACTGGGCCGATTCCAATAAATAGTAAATGGTGTTAAAAATTCGGTGTTTTATCGGTATCCCCTAAATCATTTACATACATATGTATGTATGCATGTATGTATGTACTATGTACTTTAAAAAATAATTATGTGGAAATAATAAAGTGAATCCCATTCTTATTAGCATTGAACTGCAATCGCCCCGGCTGAGCCGTTTCATACCCGATTCAACAAAATTGTTTACCCTACAACAACCGGTTTGGAGCGAAGAGAGCCAAAGAGCGGGAGAGAGCGCAATTATGCTCATTATACCCTGCGACCGTCATGGCACATTGGTTTATTGTATTAATTCATAAATATGTATGTATTTCAAAATATTTTAAATATTTAATTCAATTAGAATTATTAAATTAGTGCATGTATAATTAATATTTTTATATTTTAATTATTTGATAATTAAGTTACTTACATTTTGGCATGTATTTAAAAATTACAAAGTCATTTTTGAGAGTGTCGCTATTGTGTTACTCTTGTTTCCTTAAAACGGTTTTTTAGTGATGACACAGTAGTAGTATTATGGACGCAGAAGGGTATCCGTCTGTCACCACTGCCGGCTGCGTATCGGCTCTTAATGAAGAATAAATAATTGCCGCTGGCGAGCAACATTTTGAGCAGTACTTAACTTAGTCGCAAAACAGGCGCAGCGCCGCAGACACGTTCGTTCTCGTTGGTCCGCGCTATTTCAAGATCAAGAGCCGACTTAACGGTGCGTTGTCGCGAGTGGGAGCGAGACGGCGAAAAGCAAGCAATCGAACGCGCGGCCGAAACAACAACAACGAAGACGGGCAAAAACGAAACGTTTTTAGACATTGGCGTCGTTTTCGCGCAATATTTACACCGTCGCCGCAATTAAAATTGATATCAATTGAAAGGTATTTCGAGGGAAATTAGAAACGCGTCGCCGCCGGAGGAAAGCGAATCAAGACACACGCGACAGCGAGTGAAATGGTGTTCAAAAAGCAAACTAGATTCATAAACTGCAGGAAAATGTAAGAAAACCATGAAAAAAACAACAAATTCCAAGGGAGTGACAGAGAAAGAGGCGGGAGAGAGCGAGAACTGCAAGAAGAGAGCGCAAACTCGAGAGAGTTAAACGTGCCGCGTTTTTGTCTTTTCTTTATAATTTTTACTACTCTCTGCTTCCTCGTCAGATAAGTTTTTAAACAAATATCATCAGCCGCAGCCATAACAGTTCTTACTTCATTTTTTAGTGGTGTTTACTTAATGATTCTTAAATAGTGACGCATGGCGATGAAATGCAGAATGTACATACATCCGTACATCCATGCATACATAAATATGTACATACATGCATAAATACTCCCGCATGTATGAATTATGTATATGTGTATGTGTGTGTATTTTTGTTGGCACATTGCACTGTGCGGCGGCGGTTTTATTTTTAGGCCAAAAGAGCAAATAGAGCAGACTCATACACAAAAAACACTGTCAACAGGTTGCGGAAGTGGCGAGGTTCAAGGATATTTGCAGTGCTATTATTTCACGTTCAATAGAGAATAGAAGGCCCAAAATTTGCGTGATTAATGTTTGAACAAATGATTTGGCGCTATTTTTAAGTTCATAATCTGATGAGCGGAGTAATCAGAGCGCACGAGCGGGCGGTTGGGGGAGGGTGTGGCAGACAGATAACAGAAAACCAGAAAAAAGCACCACAAAACTGGGAGCAAGTGACGGCAAAAACTGGTTTTCCTCTTAACCTCGCTACGTGTGCATTAATAACAAAATAAATCATCGACCGTTGCCAATGTACATACATCAGACGTGTGTGTTAGTGAATTCGAATTATCGCCAATAATAACAATAATTATGGCCGTAACTAAGGCCAAAATGCCACTCAGCCAGCGGTTGTCAAGCAGCTCTAAGAGGTGTAAACAGTCCTACAACAACCACTAGTACAGTGTATACTTACAACCCACGCCCTGCGCATTACGCATTTATGGTTGTGCCAGGCCATGGAAAGCTGAACGTGTTTCTCCCAATTCAGTCGCCCAGTCGCGAATCAAAACAAAAATAGTCATTATAATAAAAACAAAAGAAAAAACGAGCCAAGGAATGTACCGCAGTGAATCACGGACTTTCCACACAGCCTTCGCGTTGAAAACATCGATAATATTGAAGTTCGGAGTCAGCGCATGAAATGGTGGGAGTAACTCTTTTTTTTTTTCGTTTTATTTGTTCTTGTTATCCCGAACAGTGTCGGTGTTCACTTACTAAAAGCTGCTGATTTAGCAGAACGAATGATGTGGAAAACTTCCTACCAAGTGCTTAAGTACTCCCTTTATATGGCCTAAATTTGTGTGCTGTTTTTATTTCCTTGGATAAAGTATTGTATGTTCGTTATGTTTTTTTGCATTTTTTGTAAATATTTAAAAAAGCCTCTTGCTTGTAAAAAAAATCGTTAACTAACCTCAACTTCATTAGAAGTGTTGACCTCTGTGTGCTAATAACCCCACTTGCCATCAAGATCTAGTTCTGTCGAAAATAGCTAAACTGTTTGCGTTAACGGGGTCATGTAGGGCTTACTTAGAATTTCTCGAAGCAAACACAACACGACTTTCTGACTAAGCGCGGCTAATCAGCATTCATTTATATATTTAGAAATTCCCCCAGTCTACAATTAGATTTTGTGAATTGATAACTAATTCATGCTCTGTTGAAGTCTGACGTAATGGAACAATCCAATATACATATGTATTCAAACGCAGCCCTAAGGCCAGGTTTCAAAATTCAAAGCAACCCCAAAAAATACTACATGTTACCTTGTGTATTTTAAGCAATTAATTGTATTTTATATGTGAGGTACAGTCAAACATTGGTACGTTGAATTAAAGTAGATCAATTGTTCAGAAGAGTTTAATAAAATTAAGTTGGGGAAATCCGTTAAATAAATGTTTCCGTTTGGTCTGGATTTTATTTATTCTGTTATTGAAAATCAGAAAAGCAGTTGGGGTGTTTTTTATATGGCTTAATGACTTAAAATATCGGTAACTAGAGACAGCTGTTCTCACTAAATTTAGTCACTTAGTTGTCGAAAATATCGGTTAAATGACTAAAAAGCCAGTGTGGGTACAAAGTTCGTATAGACTCTATATACTATAGAACAATGGTTTGGATTGCTAAGGGCTTTACAATAAAAAAAATTAAAGATTATAGATAAGAATACAAAAGGTACACATTTTTTGCATACAAGGTACAAATTTGCTACAAAGTAAAAATGCGGGTAAAATCAGTCCTTAACTTCAAATTTGTATATATACCAAAGCACTAATAGAGTCCATATTTTCAAGTCACACTGTATTTCAAGCCATAGATATGTACATACAACTGTATAACTTTATATGTACGTTAAATATGCATTCATGACAGTTGTAGGTATTCACTTTAATATGTATTAACTTTGCGGTTTGACCAGTTTCAAGTGAAAACTTTATTACATTTATATAGAAAATGTGTTTAATTACGACGCCATGCGAACGCAGCTTAGGCGCCTGACGGCGCGTGATCGCACGGCTCTTTATCTCTCTCAACCGCTCTCCGTCTCTCATATAGCCGGAATTCTCCGGGTATCTCCTGGGAATCGGGTGTCGAGCCTGCTGGCCCCGGAACGTGCGATAAGGCCTCGTCGCCCAGCGATAAGCCCAGCGAACACCACCACTGTACTCTCTGCTCATACTGGTTCTCACTCTCTTTTCGCCATTTAGACGCTAATAACGGGAACGTAGTCGCGCCGAGGGCTCCACTCAGTGCGACGCAAGAGATCGGCCGAGGAAGACGCCCCTCTTTTATTTAGAACATCATCAATACGCCGGCACCAACATATCAACCCTATATAACCACCATCAACCACAGAGACTACAAAGATGACATCACGAGTGCGTCATTGTGCCCGCCTGGGAATCGTAGTTCTGGGTATATTATGCATCGCCAGTGGGATTTATCTCTTTCGCAACTGGATCGAGATGTTTACACGCATGCGCGGCAAGGTGAGTACATACTCCTCTCCTGAAATCTAACCGATCTTATCTTATCCGATCCGATCCGACATCGATCCCTCAAAACCTTTGAGTCAAGTTTGGCGGGCCGGCAAATTGGCAAACGCGGCCCCAAAGGTCAACTGGTCGGGGCTGCGGGCTCACTTGTCATTTGCATACAATTTGGCCGTCGGAAAGCCATTTCTTTCATTGATTGAAGGCAATTGATCAAAAAATCAGCCGAAAATTGAGTGTGTGCAGGTGGCTCGCTCAATAAAAATCACCCCAAGCCAACAGGCGATAAGATAGGACAACTAAGGCGGCGGAATATATACTGAAACCGAGAGAGAGTATCATAAAACTGTCGATAAGTTTGTTAAAACACTTTTACGATCTCACATTAGGAGTACCTATACTTGTGTACGTGCTTTTAATTAGCATGTTAATGCCATCATTGGGTTTATATTCTCTATATAGTATATACAGAGAGTGCTTAGTCACGGGAGTTCTTTATGGCAAAAGTATTCATGAAGTTCGCTTCGCCATGACTCCCAGTACAATGAACTAGTGAGCGAGAAACTTGGATATAACTTATATATTTTTGTTCCACGAGACTTATCGTCTGAAAAACAGTATAAATATAAATGTAATATAAAGATAACATTTTCCTCAAAAACCTATTTAAATGACTCCCCTTTGCTTTAGCCAGTAAGTTATTAAGTATCCTGAAATTTGCTATCATACATTAAGAATGAAGATAACCCGAATGATAGAGTTCTGTTTCGAAAATAATCATCAATCATAAAATTATCAATTGCCAAATTTGTATGGCCAGGTGTTACTCGTTGAGTCACTAAAGTTTCGGTTCTGATTCCATTCTCTCCTTTTTTGGCAGCTCGGCTAATATTAGTATGTGATTAATTGGAATTATCAAAAAGGGCGCACCTGTCGCTGTGATTCATGGGGTCAATAATCCAAAAATCGAAATGTTTCCATTATGTTGACTGCGAGGCGGAAATGCCATCAAAGAAGGTCCACTGCTTAGGAGTTTTGGGTTTCGGGAAAATTGCAATGGGTGCTATCTTATCAGAAACCTGAAAAATAACCCATTTAGCGATAACCGTGTGTTCGATTAAGCAACGCTCTTTACTCTCCATATACACATAAGTATGTTTATATGTACATATAAATAAATATATAGAGCGAAACATTCATAAATGGCCTTAACCACCCAGACCTGGCATGTAACCGCACCTGGCCGTGACAGTCTGAACACCTGTTCCCCCTCTGATACCGTCTTCCAGACAGACATAATCTATTGGGATTTTTAATAGGGCCTTCTGCCATCTGCAAAAAGAGCCCAGTTCGAATTCCCTTCCTATTATCAGTTTAGTCATTTCCTGTAGTCCAGTCGCTGTTCCAATTATAAAGATTATACGGTTATGGACAAAACAAAAATGGTGGCCCAGTGTTCTCAATACCAGATCGACGATCGTTAAGTCTGCCATTTTGTGGCTTACAATGATTGATGGCTGATAGCACCTCACTCACCGAAAACGTGTAATCGCCTAACCCTAGCACCTGCTTTTCTACAAAGTAGCAAGTGAATTACAAAACGCAAATTGTTCAAAACGAAATTGTAACAAAAAATGTTTTTTAATAAAGGTTATGCTACAATATATTTTTAAAAGGTATATTATATCAAGCTATCGATCAATCATACGCACTTGACTTGTTTTTGAAGCTATATCTGATTATACAAAGTTCTAGGAACATCAAAAAATCACAGTGGTAAAATAATTTTCGAGCTATAGATTATATTACTAGGAACCAAACGAGAGTTAGGTGATACTTAATAGTGCTACAAATATCGTTTTTGTTTCAAAAACGATAGAAAAACGAATTAATAACTGGTCGTCTACTCTTGCCAGTGGAAATTTCATTTTCAATGGCTCGAAAACTGCTTGTTTGCGAGTCTTTCATTGGCGAGACATTTATTGCTAAAGTAACCCATCAATTTTCAATGTGCACAAGCAAGCCCTCTGTAGCAATTATGGAACCTCCAGCGAGCCGCTACCAATTGAACAGATCATTATTGAACTTCGGTCGGGGTTTCCATATGTACATCGTAGCTGTTCAATAAAAAATTTGCACAACGAAATCATGATATTTAACTTAATTGCCAACCATTTATCCTCAATTATAACAAACAAATTATGTAAATCGTTGATCATTGAATATTGATCATCGTCAACTATCAATCGAGTCAAGCTTATCCCCAATGATATACTATTTGGTCTTAATTGTAGGAAATGGCCTTAAGTCCCACGTCACGATCATACGAGGGCTGGAAAATCTCTCCCCTGCCGCTCAATTTCGATGTTTACATCTTCAACTGGACGAATCCGGAGGACTTTTATGTGGGTTCCGGCAGAAAGCCGCGTTTTGAGCAACTGGGACCTTATCGGTTCAGGGAGAGTCCCGACAAAGTGGACATCGACTGGCACAACCAGAACGACTCTGTTTCATTTCACAAAAAGTCCTGGTTCTACTTTGACGCTGCCGGCAGCAATGGCAGTCTCTCAGATATAATAACGCAGGTCAACACTGTGACACATGTAAGTGCTTATAAAAATAGTTCCTAACGTCCTAAATCTTCAATTAATGTCACCTTTTTTCACAGATTGCCGCCAAACGTGCTGCTGATAGCTGGGTGGGCAGAGCGGGTATTAACTTTGCCAATAAAATGTATGGACAGCAGTTGACCGTTACGAGAACCGCCGATGAAATGCTCTTCAAGGGCTACGAGCATCCGTTTATTAAGCTGGGCAAGTTCCTTCGTCCAGATGATGTGCCGTATGTTCGTGTTGGCTTCCAGTATCCACGAAACGGCAGTACCAGCTTCGATGGTGACATTAATATGTTCACCGGGGCCGATGATATTGCCAAAATGGGTCAGATTCACACGTGGAACAGTATGACACACACGGGCGCCTTCGAGGGTACATGCGGCCAGGTGCACGGCTCCATGGGCGAATTCTTTCCGCCGAATTTAAGCACCAACGACAGCGTCTACATGTACATGCCCAAGATGTGCCGAGCCGTTCCCCTAGACTACACTGAAACGGTAACTGTGCACGGCGTAACCGCATACAAGTACAGTGGCACCGAGCATGCCGTGGACAACGGCACTCTTTACCCGGAATCGAGTTGCTACTGCGTTGGCGGCAAGTGCCCGTCGATCGGTGTGATAGACATTAGTCGTTGTGCATTTAATGCGTCGGTCTACATGTCATATCCGCACTTTTATAAGGCGGATCCCAGGTTCCTGGAGGACCTAGAGGGTTTGCAGCCGGATCGCGAAAAGCATGAGTTCTTCATGACGCTGGAGCCGAATGCGGGCGTTCCCATGGACGTGGGCGGTGGCTTTCAAGCCAACTACTACATTGAACCCGTACCTGGAATAAGGTGAGTGAACTGAAGATTTCATTATAAATATTATATAAACTAAACGAGTCCCTTATCATGTTTTCAGCATATACGAAAATATTCCAAAGCTCATGATTCCCATGATATGGTGCGAGGAACGCGTTCGTGTCTCGGAGGAAATCGCCGCCGACATTGCGCTGGTTCCTTTGATTGTCTTGTTAGGACAGATCGTAACTGGAATCCTGCTGGCTGGCGGCCTCATCTGCACCTGCTGGTATCCCACGCGGCAGGTCACACACTTCTGTCACAGCGATCCCAAGGCCAAGGCCAGTGTTCTTCGACCACTAACTGCCTTTGGGGTAAATCCAACGGCACCAACGGCTCCGATGGCTCAGCTTTTCCGCACAAACACAAGTGCGTCGGGTAACGAGCGCGTGGGAGTGCGCCTGCTCGACTATAGGCGTGACTCCGGCTTGAGGGAGGAGGAGAGCGTTGGCATTGCCGAAAGCTCGCAGAGGGAACGACTGATCGGCGTGGACTCGCCCGATGTGATAGTTAGATAATACATGAGCTGGCATAACGCATTTCTGGCGGTGCCCCCTACGATCATTTGCCTAAGACTCATTTACGTCGCCGTAGCCTAGTATATCAGCCATTTTGCCTTAGCCAGACCCTCAGTGGCTGGCTCACCCAGGAGATCGAGTCAGATCCACATCACACGCATCAACCACATTACCACTCACACACTCCCATCCGCCCTAGGAGTTCCCTCTGCAGACAGCGAGAGAGATTAATAAGATTATTTATTATTTAGTGCCAAAAATAAGAGGATTAAAAGCAGCAGAGAACCCAAGCAAAAGTCATTAACAATTTTAGTGGGCTAAGTTTATCTGTAAATAGAGTGAGTCGTTAAGTTTCCCATTTGCTATCTATCATCCATTTACCCAAAAATTGTTAAAGTTGAAACTGCGCATGCCCAAAGTATTTATATATATTAATACGCCTAAATTTTGTAACACTCGTAGATCGATATTTTAGTTTCATTTAAGCCGAGATGAAGTGATAAAGCGAACTTATGGAAAATACACATTAAGAAGTGAGCTCTTTTTCCGCCTTGCTCATTTTTAGATAGGCCTTTATAAAAATTCACCTGCAAAGATTTCACATATCCTATGTACATATATCGATCAGTGTAAGTTAGTTGATAGTAGAGCACAGCTGTGAACCCCCGGAAATGTTTCCGAAAATTCCTTAAGGTAAATTTGAATTTAAAAAAGAATAAAAAACAAAACCAATTGAAATCGATGTACTGTTTTTACCTATGAATACACTACCTGCCACTAAATTCCAAACAAACATATCATGATTAACATTTTCAAACTACATGAAAGTAAAGTTAATTTAAAGTGAAACCTATTAACTGCTGTTGTGGTAAAAATTTCGTTATGGAAATATTTTATAATGGATACACTTTGATCATTTCCAAAAATAGTATTATGATTATATTTTAAAAAGAGAATAAATGTATCCCAGTTAACATTTTATCAAATATTTAAAATGATAAAAAAATATAATTAAAATATATATATTTATATATATTTAAAAAAATGTTTTATCAAATAATATTATATTTTTAAAAAGAGAACCAATGCATACCAGTTTGCTTTTTTTCAGAGATTTTGAATGATATAAAAAAATATTTGTTAAAAATGGATTCATTATGATGTCGACATTTTCCTAAAATTATATTATTATTTTCATTTCATCAGAGATTTAAAATGATATAAAAAAAAGATATTTTAAAAAGGATTTAATATAATATCCACATTTTCTGTACCTTAATACCATAACTTTCCTGATCTTATGTAAATTGAATTCTTGGAAACTGCAAGAATAAAAGAGATAATTCACTAAAGTTAAGCTTTTATTACATCCACACACATTCTTGGGGAAAAGTTAATTAATTAGTTAATTCCTTTCGACAATTGTACTCTTTAGTTAATAACCTATCAAAGTCGATTATAGCCGCTGCAGCCAGCTGGACACGGCCCAAAAGCAGAGGCTTATGAAACCGAAGCTAAAGAGGGACTTCAAGGTGCTGGCTCCGTTGCCAGGGTTCCCCAGATCCAGCTGCGAGGCCAGTTCCTCAGGCACGTCCAGGTAAACCCGTTCCACACCAAAGCCGAAGATTAGCTTACGCAGCTTGGCCACATCCACGTAGTCGCCGGCGGATGACCAAATGGTTAGGCTGCTCTCATTGGTCTCGTTGACGGCGGCCACCAATTGGTGTAGTTGCTCCTCGCTATTCGCCGCAATGCCGGCTCGCACAGGAAAGGTGATGCTTTGCCCGGTGGAGAGCACATTGTTGGCGCTCAATGTTTCCAGCATGCCCTCGCACTGCTCCTCTGTGTACTCGCCATCCCGGAAATCGGCGCCCCAATTGGTTGTCCAGCCTATGGAGAGAACAGCCTGCTTGTAGCGCATGCAACCGGCAAAGAATCGATCTGGATCGACGGGCACGCTTTTGTTTTGCTCCACAGGACCACTCAAGATGTCAGCGTTTATCCAAATGGGGTAAGTCATCTGCAGAGAGAGGTGGAGGGAATACTTATATGGGCAAAAAAGGTAATATCAATCAACTCACATTGGGAATATTTTCGTCCAGAATATCAAGGGAGCCTTCGAACACCTCGATGGACTTGAAGTCCAGCTTGACGCCCTTCTCCTGCCCCTCGTGATCCCGGTTAAAGTCCATTATCTGGTAGAGGAACTCCGCCAGGGTAAGATCGGAGATAATGGCCGGCGGATGGGCCATTACGGGCATGTCCTCGCCCTCGCCATTCAGCTTGCCAAGAACAATGTCCGCCTCAATAAAGTCAATGTCACCTATGGGCATAAAGAATGAGATTCATCAGATTTCTGGTGACCTTAGGAAGCACCTCCTCTACCTGTTAGAGCCTCGTCCAGCAGCTGTTGGCTGTTGACCGCGTGGGCCCATGTAATGGCAGTCAGGTTGGTGCCCCAGGTGCGCATTATGTCCCGATCCTGGAGCAATATGTTTACGATGGCCGGCCCTCCGTGCTCCTTCTCCACCACTTGGTACTGATAGTAGTTGCTGGCGTTCAAAGCAGCGCCATTGATTTGGGCCACGAGCACTGCGAGTGGACGGGAATATGGCGTTAATATTCCATAATTGGACAATGGGACGCACAGAGGGCACATAATATGATAGATAGATAAGCTCCAATGGCTTCCTTCTTACCTTTTTTTATTTACTTTTTGTATATATTACGAACAATCGCACACGCAGACATGGACAAGACAAAGCAATATCAATTTGTTTACTGTGTTTTTTGTAGCGTTTAACGGGTGAATCTTGATGAGTGTGAATGAGATGGTATTGTTATTTAAATGAGATGCACTTCCACTTTCACCGAATGCTGCAATTGAACTGCAACAACAATAATAATTCCCTGCGGAGAAGGCAAAGCAAAGCGCAGACGCCGAGAGGCGAAAGGAAATGAGAGAAAATTGAATGAAAGACGGACGCAATGTGGCGCGAAGAGTCGGGAATTCAAATTGCTGATAGCTGATATGTTACCGAGCAGCAGTATTGATGTCCATAGAGCGCGTTTCGTTGAACCCCCGACCAAGCCGCGTAGGAGCAACATCTTGGAACACTGGCTAGTTAAGAACTAAGTGCAGGATAGAAATATGAGTTGAATTGGGTTTTTACTAGCTTATCGCCAACTCTTGCTGATTTGATTAAACTTTGATTATGCCTTGTAAATTCGTATTGATAATAAATCTAATCAACAAAGGGAAGTGGGAGCATTTTCTGTCCAGGAGGGCAATATGCAAATAATATTTTTCCGGGAAGAACATATTTTGATAACATATTTTTTAAATAAATAAAAATACATATTTTGCATATCGCTTGATTTCACTGTTCCATTTGAAATATGCGCCCACCTTTGTATCGATAAAAATATGACGGTAAGAGTTTATTTTTTGTTTTTATTACAATATAAATTTCGCCCCCGAAGACTAGTTAAAAACCTTCCATTTTTAACGAATTTGTTGTCTCATTTCGAACATAAAAAACGGGACGATACAAAACATCGATATCACATCAGTGCAAAATATCGATATGGGGTTTCATGTGTTATCGGTTCTTTCAACATTCAAATACAAAAAGCTAAAATTACGCCAATTTTGCTTGGAAAATAGCTATAATTCCCGCTAGCCGCTAGTTCACAATATATCCCGCATTAGGTTTTGAAACACGCCAGATATAGTGGGAAAATAGCTAAATTGGCAACGCTGCATCTCACACTTCGCTCTGCTTCACCACCGTTGTTGCTTGGGTAATTTTTTTTTTTTTTTTGTCCTGGTGATTGTTAAACATTTAAGTGTTTTAAAATATTAACAATGACTTGAGACCAAATGTAAACATCCTCCAACTTTTTTTTTTTTTTTTTTTGCACGTGAAAAATAGTTTTAAGCCTTTGCATCAACGGAAAAGTGAAACACGAAGAAGAGCATCTTGTGAAAAGTCAATTTTTTGTGAAAACCAAGAGGATTAACGCGAAAATCTAGCATGTGCTGATGAAGTTTTAACGCGAAGGATTGCCGGTCAATTGCGGGGAGCAGCCAAGTCAGGATTCAGCAAGCAGGGGCACTGTGCGTGGTCTGTGACCAGGCGCCTGGCCAGCGGAGTCTCCGCCCTTTCTGGGTGGTAAACAAACACCCGGCATTGGTACAGTCCCAGACATACAAATATATAAAACACCATGTCGGCGCAGTCCGTCTACCTGAAGGTTACGCGAATCTCTCTGCGCTCCGCCTCGAACCTTTCCAAGCGGCGCGTGGACGAGCTGAACTCGGGTATCGGAGAGCTGCGCCGCCTGCTTTCCTGCGTTGTGTGCTGCCAGCTGCTGATGGACCCGTACTCGCCCAAGGGGAAGCGCTGCCAGCACAACGTCTGCCGACTGTGCCTGCGGGGCAAGAAGCGCCTGTTTCCCAGCTGTCCGCAATGCGAGGGGTGCTCCGACTTCAAGACCTACGAGGAGAACCGGACAATAGCCCTGTTGTTGCTCTGCTACAAGACGCTATGCGTCCACCTGCTGCAATCGTCGCTGTTCGCCCAGTTGGCGGGACTGCGTCCCCAAATGGGAGCCAGGGAGCTGGAGCTGCTGCCCCGCATCAAGCTGCCTCCAAAGAGCACCCAGGAGTTCATACGAGAGGGTTCCAACTACGACGACATGCGTGATACCTTTCTGCCGCAGCCGGACCTGCCGTTCCTCAAGGGCCTTCCCTCCTCGTTGCCCGCCGAGACACCGCCCACGACGGCGGCAACCACACCCGAGATACCGTACGAGCAGCACCTGCCCGAGCATCACCAGCAGCTGTCTATCAGCGACATTGAGCTAGAAGCGGCGGCCACAGCCGAGCAGGGTCACTTCTCGCCGCTTCCTCTGCTGCCAACGGGCTCGCGCATGGGCCTTCAGGCGCATACGGCGCAGGTAATCTTCACCAGCGGCAACACAGACACCACAGAGTCCGGGTTCATGGAGCAGGCGTGGACCGGTCAGGTGGATCTCTCCGAGGCCATTTCAGTCCCCAGCTTTCCGAGCAACAACACAAACTTTACCGTCTCCTATCTAATGCCCGCGGGAGCATCCACGCCGTTCGATGCCCAGGAGCTTCACATTGGTCAGGTGGTGCAAATCGGGGATTCTTCACAAACGGCTGTGCTCACAGCCGTTGAGGAGCCTCTAAGGGATGAGGAGGAGGAGGCCGTGCTACAAGGCCCCGAGGAAAACGAGGAAGGCATCTCGCAACTTAATGTTTTGGCCGTTCCAGAGGAGCCAGAAGGATTAGCCGTGCTGTCCGCTACAGAGGACCTGGAGGAGCCTGAGCAGTTGGCTCTGTTGACCGTCACTGAGGGGCCCGAGGAGCTAGCTGTGCTGCCGGTCAAAGGGAAGCCCGAAGAGTTGACTTTGGCAACGGTTGCGCAGGAGTCCGAGGAGCTAACTGTGCTGTCTGGTACAAAGGAGCCCAAGGAGCCAGTGAAGGTGAAAAGCGGCAAGAGGAAACTAGACCAAATTGAGGAAGATCTCGTAGACGAGGAGCACGAAGACAAAGTGGACGAGATCCCAAAAAAGGTGGTCAAGGAGGCCAAGAAGGCGGAGCCAGAAGGCCCAGTTACACGCAAAAGAGCGCGTAGTCCCAAAATCCCAGTCCAGAAAATCGAAGCAGAGAATAAATCGGAGCCGGCCACACAGCTGCAGTCGGCAAAGAGTGCCTTCCGTCGGGTTCGCGGCAAGGAGGATAAGGATAAGGAGAGGCCACCAAAGTCCAAGTGCCGTTGCGGTATCGCCAAAACGGCCAATCCTCTTACCACCTGCCGCACCTCGCGCTGTCCCTGCTACAAGAACGGCAATAGTTGTAACGGCTGTAATTGCGTTAGCTGCAAAAATCCCCACAAGGTGGACTTCATGGAGAGTGACGACGAGGATGGGGAGGAAGCCATGAAGAGCGATGAGGAAAAGGATAGCAACCAGCAGAAGGCAATGCCTGCTCCACAAGAGGAGAAAAGTGCCGATGCAACTCCGGAAACGGCTGCTCCAGCCCTGGTGCCGGTCAGCAATCTACAGCAGTCAAAGCATAAGTTAGTGCTGGTCCTGAATGAGAACGGTGTGTACCAGGGTAAGTTCGCATACACAAACGCCAGTATGGGTTCTCTTTTAAGCCTTTACTCTCTTGCAGGCTTTAATATCTTTCAGGGAAGCAAGCCCCTTGACCCGGAATCTTTTGGCTACGTACGCGTCCCGCTGCATAATAATGATGGCAACAGCTCCCTTCCTCAATATGCCTACATTATGCCGCCGGCAACACCTGCTGGTCCAGCACCATCGCCACCGCCACCGCCACCACCTCCTCCAGCACCGGAAAGAGAAGTGCTTGAGCCACCGCCAAAGAAGTTCAGGACTGGCTGTAGGACAAGGCGTGGAATGGCCAACTTCTCGGCCCTCGACACAGTGGACGAGCTTGTCAGTGGCGGATCAACGAGCAATTCTGCCGCTGGCGACAGATTGTCGGCCACTGACAATGCCCACTCGCTGTTCGAGGAGATCATGTCGGGCTCGGATGATTTGTAAGCAAGGCGATTCATGCATAGATGTTGTGTCTTCATCCCAAGATCTTATTTAACTCCTTTTTTTTCTGAATTTTTTTTTTACATTTTATTTTTGTTTAGTTTATTTTGTGATTCCTGAAGATATACCCTTAAAGGGTATTTATTATCTTTGTCTCCTGTGTGTTAGTTATGGCTAGGCCCCTCAAGTTTTGGATAGTCTCACTAGGCAATACTTGGGGGGTCTTTATAACTAGCCAATGCTTATTCTGGTTATTATTTCCACTGATATGCACAGAAAACGCTGTAGATTTGAAACGAAAAGCTGTCCAGAGTATGAAATTTGTTTTACCTACTCTTACCATAGATACCGTTTTAAATGTATATCGATTTCTGCTTAATTTTTTTTCTTTACATGTAATGTATTTATTTTCATCTATGTACTTCGTTTGTACTCAACCAACTCACAAATCAACTCCCAAATATCTTTTAGGGGCATTCTACATGAGGATTTCCCAGACTTTTTGTAAACGTCAAGCCAATGTTTCCACCAAACGGAAATCTTAAGCAATTAGTCGTGTAGAATTAAGCAAGGCAAGTTACATACTAACTATATATGTATATGTAAAGCAATTTCTGCAGCTGCCGCAGGCCAAAAACGAAATATTCTTAAACTTAAATAAGGGCAAAGCAATAGTCATACCTATTTTTTTTTCTTCTTTCTCGTTTAACGAACAACGATATGTAAGAAAATCTTTGAATGCTTTGCTCAGAATGTGGTTGCTGTGAGAGGAAAGGATAACCAGACATCTCTTCTAAGTTAAGACAATTTTTTTGAATAGGTTAAGAAACTTTTTTTGAGCATGAACCTTTTTTTTGAGCACGTGAATCTTTCATAAGAAAAGAAAATAAATGTAAACGCCATAATATTATAAAGGCAACAATATAAAATATGTAAAAAAAAGATACATAAATATATGCATTGATATTCCAAATATATTTCAAATTGTTTTTAGTATGTGTTTGTGTTTCTAGCATGGGGATATAAATAAAAAGGTAAGGAAAGCCACAGGGTATGTAGTCTCCGAAAGTATCAGAAATATTTCTTTAAGTCTAATGAAATATTTCAGAAAATACAATATAATAAATTTGAACGTGAAAAAACTAAACTCTAAAGATTTTTTAAAGGTGATTCAAGAGTTCTGAACACCAGCTTTTCAGTCTTGAGTTATTTGCAAAACAAATGAAAAGCACGGAGTGTCTTGGCTCAAGTAAAGTCACTCATTCATTCTCAATTCCGAGTTTAATCAGCGACTCCACGAGAATAGTCGCCCTTAGATAAGCCACGAATCGCCGCCGTCGTCGCCTGCTGTTGCTTGCTCATCATTATCTCTTGATTAACGCGACGGCGGCTGTTGTCGATCCTCAGTGCGTGTTTGTCCCGAGTCGCGAGCTGAGTTCCCAGAATCCAAAGCGGAGAGGCTAGTTCCCCTACTTTTTGCCACACTGATAAGCAGAAGTTCAACCTAAACCCAGGCAAGATGAAGCCGCTGATAACTATCCTACTCGTGGGAATGCTGACGAGTAGCTGTTACTTTGCCCATGCCCAGGATGCTGTCGATGGTGAGTGGAGAAGCGTCCTATTTCAAACCCTAAAATGGAAAGTTCATGCATGACCTTTGAGCAGCCGCCGTCGAGCAGGAAGCGGGCGATCCAAATGACGCAGATAACATCGAAGCCAGCAAGGTTCGCATTGCCGCGCAGGTTGAGGCCATGCTGGAGCATTTCCAGCAAGAAGATCCGACGGGCCTGCCTGGAGTGCCCATTCCCGATCCCATGGAAGTGCCCGATGTCAAGAAGAGCCTGGGAATGGGCACATTGGTGATGAAAGAAGTCAAGGCCCACGGTTTGTCCAAATTTCGCATCGATAAACTGAACTTGGACTTGAAGGAACTGAGGGTAAGTTTGCTAGAGATTTTTAAAAGGAATTCTATTTCATAATAACTCACAGATCAATGGTGGCCTACAATTGGATGAGATGCTGTGTAAGGGAAACTATGAGCTCGCCTCCTTTTTTTCAAAGACCAAAGGACCCTTCACCGTGCTGCTCCGAAATGTCTATGCGGAAGCAACGGCCTTCTTGGCGGTGGAACGAGACGGTCACTTGAACACGGACCGCGTTAAGATTGACATTACCTTTGCAAACATGGCCATGGACTTCCAGAACCTCGGCTTCCTGGGCTCCGTCTTTCAGAGCGTGGTTAACTCAGCCCCAAATCTGGTGTTCGACGCCATGAAGCCGTTCATGCTTCAGGAGGCGGAGAAGAAAATGCGCCTGGAGATCGCCAATATGATCCAGACCTCGCTGGGTGACCGCAAGCTGCCCAACTCTATCACACCGCTGGACAGCGCCATTGCCATGGGCCGAAAGATAGTGCGACAGAAGGGTTACGATCCGTATCACCTGCCCGATATGAATAGGACGATGGGCGTGTTCAGTGTCCAGTTGGCCCACACCTGGATCAACGGCGTCTCCAGTTTCTACCGCGTTGGTAACATCACAGCCGGCATGGCCAACAAGACGGTGTCGGTGCTTCTGCAGCTAGGCACCCAGCAGATAACTGGTGCCGGCCAGTGGGAGGTGGGTCTGGGCATGATGACACGTGTGGGTCAGGTCCAATTCACAGTGCAGCAAATCCGGGCCACCATAGGCTTAAGCCAGTCCATGGACACGAGGAAGCGGGCACAGGTCACCGATCTGCAGTTTGATATGGGCAACATCCAGGTGCGTTGCGATGGCGCTGGCACCTTGGACTACATCATGGAGTTCCTGGTGAATGTGATACCCAATCTGTTGCGGTATCAGATTATGGACGCCATCGAGAACCCGATCAAGCAGCGCGTGCAGGAGAAGTTCAATGCCATCGATGTGGAGCAAGTCATCAAGCTGATGGCTGAGAAGTACGAGAAAGAGGGCAGTGACTTTACCTTTGACCCAAAGCTGTTGGGAATCTAAGATAGAGTAACAGTGAGGGAGTTTTTGCAATAAAGGTTTATCTTTATCCCAGAAGATCGGGAGTCATCACAAGCTATTATCGTTAAGGCTATCTATCTAAAAGTTGGCAGTGGAATGTCCTTATGGTTCCTTGACCCCAAAACAGAGCAACTGCAGCCGCATATTCCGCTTAACCCGCTCCAGGATCTCGTCCGCCTTGCGCTTCTGCTCGCCATTCAGGGGGGGATTGATGGCCTCCAGTGCCTCCATGAAATAGTTTCTATAGGAAAATAGAGTTCCTTAACTCTCCCCGATATCTCACAAGTTTACTTACTTGGCCGTTTCATTGACATATCCCTCCAGGGCATCCCTCAGCAGGCGTATGTCCACATGCGCCTGAATTGCGCCCGTAAAACTGAACCGCTGGACACAGCTCATCAGGCGGGCCAGCTCCTCGGATATGGTCTGCACAATTGACTCGAGGATCGGTCGCAATAAAGCCGGCGATATGCTGTAGATCTCCGAGTAGACGCCGACCAGATTATCGCAGCACTCGTGGGCATACGGCCGCAGCTGACCAATCTCCATCTCGTGATCCCATTGGAAGCGACCCAGGTACATGGAGGGTTCGATGGTGCCCACCAGCGGGTCGCCCTTGTGCTCCACGTACTCCTCCAGTAGATTGGTAAAGAGCTGGTTCACCGTGTACCTGGCCGTTTCGATGGCCAGCGTGGGCAGTGGGTAGCCGTAGCGCACAAATATCTCACCAAGATGCTGGAAGAAGCTCTTGTTGCAGTACGCATAGTTGGCCAGGCAGCAGAGCATGCGCTGCTCCCAGGTGACAGCTGCTGTGCCACTACCTAATCCTACTCCTCCTCCACTTCCAGCCACCGAATCTGGCTGCTGGGCATTCGGGAATCCCAGCAACTGTGACACATTGTGCGTGGGTGTCTCCTCGTCGTGGGAGTGAAAGGCCAGCTCTTCGATGACACCGCTGAAGGCGGAAAGGAACTCCTGCAGCCGTTGGGTCACCTCCCGCTGGCCATCCGACTGCGGCTCCAGAAGATTGCCCTCCCTTGCCTCCGGCTGCATGCACACTGTCTGCACTTCATCCAGTGTTTCGATGAGGAGAGCTTCGAGGGCGGCCGGTAAGAGAGTGGCGCCTGGATATTCCTCCACTCCGAGCTCCCAGGTCTCATGTGTGCCCAGCTTCTTGCAGCGATCCGTGGCCCGCTTGAAGATGATTGAGAAGCAAAATAGACGCACCTCATCGATAAGCTTCTGTATGATGTCCAGTGCCTCCGAGGGCAGGTCCAGGCTGATGAGCGAGGCATAGGCGATCCTTGTGTAGCGCAGACACTGCGGAATCCAGGGCAAGAACTGATGCGTGGCCGAGGCAGAGCCAATGGGCCAGGAGAGCCCGCTGGTCTGGCGCAGGGCCCGCTGATCCGCAGCAATAAGGATGGCCAGCCGCAAGTAGACACAAAACTTCTCAATGGCAGTCAGCACCATGCGCTTAAAGTCGCCGGGCTTGGGATCATGGGGACCGCGCAGCTCTCCAGTGAAGTACAGCTGACCCAGGCGCCACAAGTCCGGCAGCTGGGAGGCGGCAATGTCGCACAGCTCCTCGCAGAAGTTCACCCGACTGGGCGTCTGGCTGGGATCCCTGCTCTTGGACTTCTCCTGGGCACCCGGTGAATCCTTGCTGGCATGCTGCTCGAATGTCTGGCGGAAGGTGGACTCCAGATACTTGGCCCTGGCCTCGATGGCATCCCACGCAGGATCAATGTTCCGCAGCTTATCGCCAATGGGCGTGCCACTCTGCTGCAGCTCCAGGCTGGTCAAAGCCTTGATCAACTTCTTCTGCTGCTCCACGCTCTGAGGCATCTTTACCACCTTCTCGTGCAGCTGCTTGCGTATGGAGAGTATGCGGTGGTCCACCTCCTCGAGCACCTTGCGGAATATGGGTATTTCCGTCTTGCCAAAGAGATTCTTGGCGCGGGAATAGTCGTTGACCACAATGTCATAGTCGCCTGACTTGGCCCGCCTATCCACAGAGTTGGGCAGGCAGAAGAGGAACTTGTGACGCGACAAAGCAAACAAAACAGAGCGTGTGGAGTCGGCCTTCTCCTTGCGCACCAGCACATCCGTAAAAATCTTTTGGGACTCGCTGATGGAGTCTGGAAGAGGAACAAACACCTTACAACCTTATTATCACCAGGATTAAGCTTAACTCACTCTCTATGGACGCCTCTAGAATGTTCAGTTGCTCGTTCCCGTGCAGCTTGACGTCCTCCTGCAGCTTGTCCCTGATGTTCATCAGCGTGTCCAGCTGATCAATGACGGATCCCGCATTAGACTTCAGAAACGACAGCTGTCCCTCCTTCTGGCTTTCCACCTTGCGCTTTAGATAGGCCAGACCCGCCTTGAGGTCCTCGAACGAGGTGGCCAGATGATTCTCTAGCAGGAACCAGGACGGTGAAAAATGCTCCTGCGACAGATCGCCGCAGGCGTCGGGGAACAGATCCCGCAAGTCCTCTGGTATCTTTTGCTCATTGCCCTCAATGGACAGGCCCAGTGGATCCTCCTGGGTCAGACCCGATTGGGCCAAGGTGCGCCGCCCCCAGGCAAAGTTTTGCGATGGCGACTCCTCGATCCACACAGCCGACTCCTTCAGCGGACCGATGGTCTCATGATAGGCGCGGAACTGCACTGTGGAAGTGCCCACACCGCCACTCAAAGTGGTCACTATGATGTCGCCCTTGCCCTTCGCTGGACCCGTGCGTGCTATGATCTTGTTGGGTGACTTCCACTCCGCGGACAGCAGGCAGTCGGAGCCGCAGATCTTCAGGCCTGAAAGCGAAGTGAAAACCATTAAAAATGCTGCGATGACGGAAGCGGTGTTTGAAGACTACGCCTACCAATTAAATCCTGCACTCGGGTGCCCAGGAACTCGCCGCGTATGATGACACGGGTGCCAGGTGGACCCTCCTTGGGGGACAGTCCCGTTACCACCGGCTGTGGGGCCATGGCGAGCTATTTTTAACGCGTAAAAGTTGCTCGAAATTCGGCAAAGCGAAATAAACTTTACGATGTGGCCAGTGTAGGTAAATACTTGATTTCGTTCAGTGCTGGATAAGGCAGTTCTTCCAGCGGAAAATCTTTGCCGTTTTGGCTGGAAGGAGCGACAGCCACACTCCCCGCCAGCTGATCAAACTTGTTTACGTTGCAGTTGTTCTTTTCAGATAATTCGCCATAATTATTCCGGAAAAAATGCAACCCGACCGAGTTCTGGCCACCAGGGATGACGTCGCCGCGGCACAAAGCGAAAACGAGAATTTGCGCAAAATACGCAATCGGCTGATGCAGTGGGAGTCCAAAACCGACCCCTTGGCGGCGCTAAGTGTCCAGCAGGAGGAGCTCTTGGACGTCCTTACCAATCTGTGGCGCGATAGTGGCCCAACCGTAAGTAATAAGTCCCCCCGGGTGGCGGTGTGCCAACTAAAATGTTTTCCATTTACTTTAAGGCCGCACCTGTCACCACGCCCACCACAGCAAGTGTGGGTTCTGAGGCCACGTCTCCTCCGCCGAGCAGGGGTGAGGACATCGAACTGCCCGCGGATGGGCTGCAAAATACCAATGACTTCTTGCTTTGGTTCGCTGACGTCAGCGCCGAGATCGAGGAGCGTGGCGATGCCGACTACCACAAATACCTGCAGCAGCTGGAGCAGCGCAAGGCGGAATGCTCGCACATGCTTGGCCAGATCGCCGTGGCCATGGAAAGGCTGGGCGCCCTCTGCGACGAGTATGACTTTGTGTCGCAGAAGACAAGTGCTTTGAATACGGCCAGCGAGCAGTTGATCGACGAGCAGGAGAAGCTCCAGGAGCTGAGCAACGAGATCCAACGACGGCTGCACTACTTCAGCCAGGTGGAGCTGCTCAACCAGCGGTTGCAGAGTCCCACGCTGTCGGTGGCCAGCGAAGCCTTCCGGGAATGCCTCAACAAGATCGACGATTGCCTGAGATACATCGAGGAGAACGTGCGTTGCTGGCCTTATCTTTGCTTTTTCATATCTAAATTAGCTGTACTTCCAGCCCAAATTCAAGGATGCTGCCGCCTATAACGTCAAGTACAAGCAATGCCTGGCCAAGGCCTCGGGACTGGTACGCAACTATGTGACCAGTGTGATTAATCAGGCCACCGAGGCCACCCTGCATCCCAAAAACAATCTGCCGGAGGCACCCGATGCCGCCTTTGCCTTGTACTATGGCAAGTATCAAACGGCAGCGGCGAAGGTGAAACGAGTGGCCCAGTTGATAGAATCCCGAGCGGAGCACAGCAACGAGTACGGCCAGCTAATGGCGGATCTGCAGCAGCACTATCTGGCCCAGCGGGCGAGTGTGATGTCGCCGGCTGTGAATCTGTCCATACAAAACGTAAAGGTGGCGCACAAGGGCGATCATTGCTCGCTCACCCGCAGTGCCTGTGCGTTTCTCGTCCATGTGTGCCAGGACGAGCAGCGTCTGTTCTACCAGTTTTTCAGCACAGGTGCTCCACACTTGACGTGAGTTGATTTCAGACACAATAATATAGTTTAATAATAATTTAATTGTTAATTCCAGCGTTTATTTGGAGGGATTGTGCACCATACTTTATGACACCATGCGGCCCTTTATTATACACATCAATCACCTGGAAACCCTGGCAGAGATCTGTTCTATACTGAGAATAGAAATGCTGGAGGAGCATGTTCAGCAGAATCGTAAGAATAATATTTCCGGCATTAAGATTGATTTTGTAATGAGTTTCTTGGAGCAGCTGCCGCCTTGGAGGCCTTTGCCACTATTGCACACCAACTGCTGCAGGATGTGCAGGAGCGGTTGGTTTTCCGGGCACACTTGTATCTGCAATCGGATATACAGAACTTTAATCCCTCATCGGGAGACCTGGCCTATCCGGAGAAGCTGGAAATGATGGAGGTTAATGGGAGTTCTTTTTTGTTTTCTGATTAAATTATCCTTTATGTTTTCTTGCAGAGCATTGCATTGTCCCTGCAAGAACCTGCTCCATTGCGACGCTCTGACTCGCGCGGGTCCATGATATCCAGTGTGTCGAGTGTTGTGGAGACAGAAAGCGTGGACACTGCCTACAGGGTCAAGCAAATGAGTAAGCTCTCAAAGAAAAGTTAATTTAGAACTTGGAAACTAAATAATTTTGCATAGATTCCCCAGCCGACCTGCATGGCATGTGGTATCCAACTGTGCGCCGTACATTGGTCTGCCTCTCTCGGCTGTATCGCTGCGTTGATCGTCCCATTTTCCAGGGACTCTCCCAGGAGGCCCTTAAGCTGTGCATCCAAAGTGTTTCGCATGCGGCCGGAAAGATTGCCGCCTCCAAAACGCCCATCGATGGGGAACTGTTCGAGATTAAGCATCTACTTATACTGCGGGAACAGATTGCCCCATTCCGTGTGGACTTTACGGTGAAGGAGACGTCTCTGGACTTTAGCAAGGTAAAAACAGCTGCCTTTGGATTGCTGCAGAAGCGCAAGCAGCTCTTCTCCATGGGCAGCAACAATGCCCTGCTGGAATTCCTATTGGAAGGCACACCGCAGATCAAGGAGCACCTGCTGGACTCGCGCAAGGAAGTGGACCGTCAACTGAAGACCGTGTGCGAGAGATACATCAAGGATTCGGTGCAAATGCTGGTGGGTCCGTTGGTCACATTCCTGGAAAAGGCACAGTCTCTGTTAGAGCAAGCAAAGCATTCGCAGTCGCCGGAATCCACAAAGCCCAGCTACGCTTTGAGGCAAAGCCCCTGGGCCAGTCCGCAGCAAATCAGCAGCATTATCCAGGAGACCCAGCGCCTGATCAAGGCCAAGTTGGCAGTACTCCAGCGGGCAATGCAACTATACCTAAGCAATCGTGATACGGAATTCATTATCTTTCGTCCTATAAGAGTAAGTATGAAGGGTTTTTCTTTTTGTTTGCCTTATTCTTAAGCTTGGTTTCTCCCTTTCAGAACAACATCATTCAGTCCTTTGTGAAGCTGGAGCAACTGCTGACCACCAACGGCTACTCTACCGATGATATGATCATTACAAGTTGCCCATCGGCCGAGCAAGTGTCTATATTGCTTTCCAGCGCCAGTATTCTGGCTGCCGAGGGTGTGGCCAGCTTTGCAGCGGCTGCCAGGAAAATCAGCACCTCGTCCTCGGTGGATGGAGCCACCACGGCGAGCAGAAAGCTCAGCACTCAGCTCTCAAACAAGTCACAATCACAACTGGTGGAAACCAAGGAAGCCCAGATAGAAGTGGTGCCTGCCGAGGGCCCACCGCCAGAGAAGACATTAGAGGAGGAGGAGGTGACCACACCAACCCAGGCCATTTCGGAATAATTTGCAATTTATGTAACCTGTATGTGTATCCTATTTATGTAACATATTTAAGCGCCTAGAGATCGTTTCCTTATATCCCTTACAGCTCGCTATATATATTCTTTCCAAAAATGTAGACTTAACATTGATTTATTTTTGCTAAACCACGTAGAATGTGACAAAGTCAAAGTAAATTACCAACAAAATATTACAATTAACAGAATGTTTGCTTTTGTTTGCTTAACTAGAGCTAATAGTTGGTCAAGTAGGGGATATGTAGGGGTTGCGGTAGAACTAGGACAGCAGACATTTGTCCTTGCCACTTCCCTGCTGGCTGCCGCCCACCGTCACCTGTTGGGCATTGTTTTGGTTTTGGCTTTGAGGCTGCTGCTGTCGGTTGCGTTCCGATGCGTCATCCTGTTCCATGATTGATAAGGCCAGGGCTCGAGCAAGGGCTTCGTCTTCGCTCTGCAATAAATTGGTTAATTGATAATTAGATATTTCTAGAACAGTCTCGACTCTAGAGAAACCACCTACCATATTTCCCTGTATCGTTTGTACTTGTGTGGCCTGCACTGCTGCTGCTGCAGCGGCTCTCGGCCTTGGATTCGAGGTACCCACATTGCTTGCTGTCGGCTTGTTCTGCCTGCGTTTCTCCGCAGCCTGGGCAGCCATCGAGCGCGTGTCCGAAGACTTGAAGATTGACTGCCAGCCTCCGATAAATGACGTTGCTGGGGCTATTGGGTTACTCGCTGGCTGGCAGTCGTGGTCGCTGGTATGGCGATGACGTAGGCAGAAATTCAAATGGCATGCTGAGCACTTCACCGGGATGAGCTCCTTGCGCTTGCAGCCCTTGGCATGGCAGCGATTCGTGTAGATCTTCTTGCTCTCCGACTTGCATTGCTGATCGATGTGCTGCCCCACAGTGACGTCGGGCTCCACTCCGGGGGGCGTGGGCACGGGTTCACGGCAGAGTGGACAGATGGGCACCTGGACGTTCTTCTTGTACGCTCCCGGGCAGTTGTGGCGCTCGTAGTTGTAGTGGGAGGCGCAGAAGACCTTGTCGCACGAGTCGCACTTAACGGGCAGAAAGTCTAAACAAATTAATTAATTTAATTAGTTGTTGATGTTTCCTGGTTGCGAAATTACGCTTTTTTGCGTCTCACCGAGTCGATTACAAGTTTTCTCGCTGCAGTGCTGGCCCAGATGTGGAAACTCCATGTTGTGGTCTGGTTGCTGATGTCTTGAAATTAAGCTCGACCAACAGATTAAGGCCTCTTTTATTCCCGGGATAAATGGAAAACTTCGAGAACAAGCCCGATTTGGACGAAAATGACTAAACAGTTTAGTAAACACTTTTTTTCGGATAGATTTTATAAACACGGCTTGCCACACCAAAAACAGTGTTGCCAGATGGAAATGTGGCTCTCTTTTGCAAGTTACCGACACTGCTATCTGGTCACACTTAAATCGATAATTCATTTGAAAATCCAAATAGGGCGTTTTAACGAAAATTTAAATAAATATCATTAACTTGAGTAAGTTTATATAAATATTTAAATTGAAAGGTATAAATATTTAGGAAACCTTTTGAATCAATACTTACATATTCTATTCGATTTGGTTAATATTTCTAATAATTATTCTAATATTATTTATAATTTTTCATTTCCTTTCAAAGCTTACTAAATATAATAAAAAACAAACTATGTACAACTATTTACATCTATACATATTTACAAATTTATTTGTTGAAATGCTCTCGTTTGTCATGATACAAAATGTTTTAATAGGAATATATATATATAAATACATAAATATATACCAACAGTAATCACGAATAATGGGTATAAACTTCAATTTGGAAATGGCCAATGAGTCTTCAATTTCTTCAGTTTCATACATCTAATAGAACCACATTGCCGCGATTTAGATAATACCGAAAATATAATGCTTAGAATGAGAATGCGCAGCCACGATCGTTCAGCTTTCTGTGAATGTATACGAGCCTTGATAGTAATTACTGTGTTTTGTGTGGAATAAAGAGATTTACGCTGCTCTTGTGTAAATGCAGCGATAAAGTTGAACATTTTCTATGCTCGAGAGAGAGAGAGAGAGGGGGGAATCAAAGAGCCGGCGGCGGCAATTGCAAGATAAGTGCTAAAGGCGATACATTTTTGTAGCTCCAAATCTGTAGATCAAGAACGAATTTGGTCCCGCTGAATAATAAGTTTCTTAGCGCGCATAGCTGTTGAAAAAGTTTCTGGAAATGCGTTGAGAATCTGCTGAAGCTAAAGTTAAACGATTTCGCGGGCAAACGGAGCAAATGCCTCCCAGTAGCTGACGATCTGAAATATAACAAAAAAGACAAGTTCATTGACCCACTTAGGCGTGTGTGTGTGTGCAAATATGAGTACGCACCTGTTGCTGATGCGCCATTTGGTCTTCTATGTACTTGATGATGTTCACCTTAAAGTCTTTCACTCTAGTCAATTCGAAACGCTCCATTTCGCGCTTTATTTCCGCCGAAATGTCGTCGAACTGCTGCTGACAGCGCTGAACCTTGCCCTGCCACTAGAGTTTAGGAATTGTGGAATTATTAGCAAATCTGATGCATTTTCTTTCGACCAAAACTCACCTCGTCCACTTCCTGCTGAGCCTGGTCCAGCTTATCCGCCCTGTTGGCCAGCTCGAAGCGACCTCGATTCTCGCGCCGCTTGGACAACTGCATCTGTGCGTACTGCCAGTTCTGGAAGGCCTTGACGCGCTCGTGGAAAATGCACTTGATGGCCCCAAACAGGCCCAGGTAGTCCTTGATGAACTCCGCCAGAATGAAAAAGTCCGAGTTGGCCTGCTCGGAGCGCAGCAGCTCGATCTTCTCCTCCACGTCCGCCAGGTTGGACAGCGCCCGCGACAGGCCAGTGTGCTCCTCGCAGGTGCTCAGCATGGCTGCCGACTTGGCCACCAGACCCGTCAGCAACGATAGTTCGCGTCGCGAGGTGACCAGGGATTTCATGGCATTGTGCAGCTTCTGCAGATTGGCATCGAGGCTCTCCACTTCGGTGATCTTGTCGTCAAACCAGGGATCATTCTCATCCATCTTGTAGGTTATCTTATTCACGGTCTCTCCCACTTTGTTAAACAATCGGATCACGCCGGCTCCGCTCAGAGCGGAGGTGTTAACCGAGCGCGGTAGCTCCTGGTCACTCTCCAGAAAGTTCATAAAGTCCAGGTCAACGCGCAGCACCGGATGCTGGGCGGTGCGGTGCACAAATCGCTCCAGAGCCGCTCGCCGGATCTCGACCCACTCCTGGTTCATCGGTGTGCCCGGCTCACTCTGCTGGGGGCTTATCTTCACCTTTGTGCTGCCAATGATGTTCTTGGACGGTGCCGGGGGAATAATGCGGCCCAGCCGCATGTACTTGCCCACCAGTAGGTCGTGTATGCCCAAGAAGTCGCTAAAGCGACGCATCGAGCTGAACTCGGTCCGCTTGAACTTGGGGATATTCGTCTTGGTCGTCACCCTAAAAGCGGCCGCGATAAGCCGAATGAACCGTGTCAATAATATGCTTGCACTATGATAAGAAAACCCCCACATGATGACTCACTTGTACGCCAAATAGGAGCCCATTCCGTCGCCAATTTTCTGTGGGTCAGACACCACAATGTTGATGAAGTAGTCTCCGTCGTCGGTAAGCACCTCCTGCAGTGGCTGGATGGAAGAGGGAGAGAGAGTAGAGCTTAAATGGATGAGCAACAAGGTTCTCTGCTGGCTTGGGGGGCGGCACTCGTGACGTCGCCGCCCGAAAGCCAAACAAAGCGAAAGCAACAGTCGTCGCGGCAGCTGATAAAGAGCGAGAGCCGCCCCGAAATTAGAGCTAATTGAATAAGCATCCTGTTGTGATTGAGCTCATCCAGCCAACCGTGCTACTTACGTGCACATCTCCGATGCTGCTGGGGCTCAAAGCTGAGACGAACAGATCCCGATCGCTGCTCTCATTGCCCAGCGTTACGCTGCCGGGTGCTGGCACCTCCTCCTCCTCGTCCTCGGACGCCGACGCTGCCCCGTTGTTGATGTCCACCTCGGCGAACTCGCGCGTGTGCTCGGGGCTTTCCACATCCATGTTGGCTGCTGCTTTTAATGCCGTTCTGGTTGCTAATTGTAATTATCGTTTTCTTTCTCTTTTTCGACCGTCGTTGGTGGCAGCAGTGTGACCAGAGCCCGAGCGTGCATTGACGCTGAAAAGCTTCCGCGAAGCTTTCTTAAAAAAATACTGCAAATAAAATAAACCTATTGGAGAGGTGGAGAAACTTGCACCGTTGTTTTAAAAATGTTTTTTGGCGAATATGGTGAAAGCACTAAATAAGGAAAATGTGTCATTAAAACTTTATATTAAAATTATTTAGAACAATTATTTAAAAATGTATTTCAAAGCAATAGAAAATGTTTTATTTTTCTTTTAAAAATTACTTTGGTGAATTAGAAAATAAGTTGTACAATTTTAAAATGTATTTCCGAGCTTTAGAAAAATTTTTAAACTAATATTATTATTAAATGAAAGGTTATAAATTACAAATGCTATACAAAATTATACAACCAATTTAAATGTATTACGTTTACAAGATAAATTTCAAACTTAATTTGAACCTCGTAAATTATATTGGTAATATTCTTAATTGATTATATTTATTGCATTTCTAAAATTATTTAACATTATTTTATATCCCTCCTTAATTAATAAGTTTTTTGGGGTATTCGTGCTTCATCTAATTTGTATCCCGCAATTTTATAAGTCACCAAACATACTCCAGAATGAGTTAATGTGTTGCATGGAACCGCTCACCGCCAGCGTGGACTTCCTGGAGCTGGCCGACTTGGCTGGACCTTGGGGACATTCTGAGACCTGGAGCTGGAGCTGGTCGCGGACGCTTGAAGCTGGGCTATTAACTGTTTTGTAAGACGTGGTAACTGTGTTGTACCTGGCCGGAACTTGGCTTTACCAACTGCCAGATGGTTTACGCTGAAACTTCTTCGCTCCTCGAAGACAGGATTTTTCTTGAGCTTATTTGGGTTATAAAGTGGTTATAAAGAAACTGAAAGAGATAATTGCATTACAGAAACCCTGTGTTATAAGATAAGAAATAAATGTGTCTCCGTAACATAGAAAAAGTACTGGAAATATATGTATACAAATGAATACCCAAAGAAAACTGTTACTACAGCTCAGATATATGTATAACTAGTATCTACTTCGTGGTTAAATGAAACAAAATAATAATAAAAAACGAAACATTTATAAAAATGTACCAACGTTTTTTCTAGGTTCCTACATGATTTCGCAGCTTTATAATATAGTAAATGAAGATTGGCAACATTTACAATACTATTTTTAAAACGTTATAAATTAAATAAATTAATTATAACCTAATTTTTTAATTTCCATTTCCACCCAATACCATCAATCAGGCAAAGACCCAGCAGCATCAATCAGAGCGTCTCTATTTCGGGGTCTGCGTGCAGAGTTATCTCTCATTTCGCTTTCATTCAGCCAAATAAATGCCATTAATTTAGTTAATTTGTTGTACGTGTCATTTGGCCAAAGGCTTAGCTAACTTTGCACCCAAAATGTCCTGGTCAGACTAATGTGCCAACTAAAACAAGTTAAACTGCTCATTGATATAGCCACTATCTGCATTTGTCTTTGCATTAATTTAATCCCATGGCAATTAAAGGCGGGGCGTGTCGGGTCTGGGCTTAGGATTTGACTTTGGCCATTTGGATATCAGCATATATCTTCGCATAAATGTGGTTATAATTTGTGTGCGGCTAATTAGTTGAGTTTCAGTGTTAGCTCCGACCCGATCCAATTAGTTAGATAATTCAATTCAAATAATAGAAAGCCAAAGATGGACTTAACCCGGGCCCAAGTATTTGTTTTTCCACAGCACTCGACGATGGATGGATGTTCCACAGAAAAGGGAATGATGAAGCTCCTCTTTACTCTAACTGCCACGGTTTTAGTTAAGGGTATAATGGTTATAAATAGTACAATTAAAAAAATATATATTAAGAACTCAATTCTACTAATATTTATATTTAATATAGGAAGAATAAAACCTTTTTTTTATAATTCAATCGTTTCTTTTACTCACACGGAAGGGTTTCAGTTAAGGATATAAAAGTTATAAAGACAAAGTATTAATACAAATAAAAACTTGTATATATTAGGAATTTAGTTCTACTAAAATGTATATTTCATATTCAGCGTATTATTCTCCTAACTCTCGATTTAATAAATTAAATAAAGTCTCTACTAACAATTTAATTTGTTATTTAACTTATTTCCATTCCTGTCAAGTTTATTTTGATTGGTTTCCATTTTTTCTCAGAGTCCTTTGAGCCTTCCGTAACGTTATTAAAACTTAAACATATACTCCCTAAGGGTATCCAACTTTGATCAGGCCAAGGGCCGGATTTCCATTGGTTTTTTATTGGTTTTAGTGTTTTTATTTGGCTGCGAATGCAGATGCAGCTAACGGGCTAACGGCGATGAGCGGAGGGAGGCGGCAAAGGCACAAGTAACAAATCAAACGAGTGCTTTTGTAAATTACATTTGAATTATCCGCTCTCGGTGCCCCTGTCCTGTCCCTGCCCATCCCCCTTAGTATGCATTCATTCGTTCATTTGGTGCGTTTGTGCGCCCGTTTGTATGCAGTACTTTTTGTGGGTAGCTGCCACCACATGGCAAACATCCTTGGGATCCTTGGGATCCTGGCAGCAGACAACAAGCGTGCAAGGGGGTCACAGGGGGAGATGGAGAGCAGCTGCCTGGCAAAGTGGATCAAACAGCCAAAGTTAATAAACACTTTGCTCGTTGCCAGCCAGCCAAAGGACAGAATGGAACAGAAACAGGGGAACAGCGGCACCCATTCCCTTTGTCCAATTTTAGTGTCCGTTGCAATTTGGAGTGTGTGTGTGTGTCTATGAGTGTGCTTTGTTGTTGCAGAGTGAAATTGAATGCAAATAGAAAAACAAATAACAAACAGGCACATACATATATAAGCATTTCACTTCAATTTACGCGTTTTCCATTTCAATTAAAACAATTCGCATACCGCAAACGGCGAAACATTTAACGAGCATTTGGCGCCATTAAGTAGGCTATATATCTGTCCATGGTTGTACGCGTGTGTGTGTATGAGTGTGTTCCCCAGTTTTCGGTGCATGCAAATGGTTTAGTAAGTGGGCCACACAGCCAAATGACTAATTATTTATGGCCAAAAGGTACAATGAGCCGGCGAATTAGGGCCGTCGTCGACGTTGTCTGTCTCCGTCATTTGTCTGATTAACAACAACAAAAAAATGGCTACGCGAATTGGGTCGCTGAATTTTTTGTGTCGAAATTCATTTCAGCTTAGACTTTCCCCTATATCCTGACGAATATCTTTGGGCGGCCATCCAACGAAGGACTCGTGACCCACTTTATGGCCAAAGTTTGCTTGAGAGGAGCTTCTTTTGCGGTTCACAGATTTCTCCATATATATGTATAATATATATGTATATATATATATATACGTTTACATCTCTGCATTAGCTGATGACTACGATGTGCCGGCTGAAAATATTGTTTGCTTCAAAAGAGAGTTAATTTTCTTTGTGGACTCTGAAAAAAAAAAACGATAAACTTTGAAGGGATATATTATAAAAATATTTAAATCGAAGGGCGTTTAACTAATAATATACACATCCTTTGTAAACTGGAACTGGACTGGAATCGAAAAACTATATCTCCATACATAAGTATAGTAGTAGATTCCTAAGAAATCTGAAATAAACAATAAAGAAACACATATGCAAATAGTAAATACAAGTGCCAGAATCCGGCTTCCCCCTTAGAAATCTGGTTAGTAATAAAAATATTTACTTACCACCTCAACACTGGGGGGAAGTCATAACCAACTTTAGCCCCGTAATACTCCCAGAAAATGGAGAAAAACAAACTTGTCATGTGTCAATGGCAAGAAGAAAGCACTCGACCTGAACCCCGGCTCCAGAGCTCAAAACCGGAAGGACTCTGCAGCCCGAGAAGTCGATGAAAACGTCGCGTTTTTTAACGGAAATGTGGAACTCCGCATTGCCCAATAATGGAGTCTGATAAAAAATAAAAAAAGGCAGCAGAGTCAGAGGAATCGCTTCCATGACCTGCTCCTGGTCTTGGTCCTTATGCGCTGCCTTCAGGTCCGGTGACATGTGAGCGACGTAGAAATGTGGCGGAAATGAATTTTATACTCAGTTGTGTGTACGAAACCAAAGCAAAACCAATAAAATCTATTCCATTGCAGGATGCGAAGGGGGGTGGAGACTGGGGGTTAGTAAAATGTTAGCTAAATGTTGGCAAAACAACAAAATGTTTGTGCATTATTTACGCCCTGCTGGCATTTTATGCTAATAAATTACCAATATGCACGAAGGCAAAACTTTTCCTGCCATATCCAGGTGGGAAAGGGACGTCAGCATCTATGTACATATACAAACATACATATAAGGCAAGGAAGTTCCTGGTAAAACTGACAAAGTGCACTTGCACCCACACACACGCACACACAAGTGTATGGCTTACATATGGGGCAAGGCATTTATTATTTTTTGATATTTTTACCCTGCACTCGCACACACACGCAACCTGGAAAATCGAACTGCGGGGGAAAAAAGCGAGAGACACAACGCGAAAAGTCAGAGCCACCAACTAAACCAACAATTTCCTTTTTTCCCTGCTCGTGTGTGGGTGCTGTCTTTTTTTTCACAATTCTTTTTTCGCTTTTATTTTCATTTTTCTTAACTTTTTTTTGGTTGACGCCAAAGAAATTTGGCGTCAGTTTTATGCGAAAAGCAAAGCAAAAAAAAAAAAAAAAAGGTGAAACTCTCGGCGGGAATAGTTCGTGATGGGAGGCGGGGCGATAGTTCAGCAACAATGGCAAACAAAAATCCGGAAAAAATAGCAAATCGTATAAAAATAGCTGAAACAGACACGCAGACACACACACGCTCAAAACTCCGAAAGCACACGAAAACTGAAGGGCGGGCGAAAGGGTACACCATGAAAAAAAGGATACCTTTAGTATGGGTTTTAAATTTCGAAAAAATAACCGTGTTAAGTGACATATTAAATAATGATTGATTTACCGAGGCTTTCATTTAACTAAAAAAATATATATATATTCAAG